AGAGAGAAGATGAGGTTTTCCAGCCAACCAAATTAAAAAGAAAAAAAAAAAAAAAGGGGGAAAAGGGGAAAAAAAATTGACGTTAAAGAAAAACCCGGTGTTTTAAAAAAAATTTTTTTTAAGTCAACCAAAAACTTAGTTGCCATTTTTCTTCCCTCAGCTACAAACATTAGAGACATGTTTGAGGTGTTTGGGGATGAGAAGGACAGTGGTCGAGTCCAGAACCTGATATCCAGAGGTTGGAAGGTCCACGGTGTCCTTGAGAAACTCAGCACCATTGATGAGCTAAATGCTATCATGAAAACACGTGACGCCAGACCTGAACTAGATCAAAGATAACCGTACATCTGTGTGTGTGTGTCTTTGTAGCAGAAGTAATGCCTCAGTGAAGGGTAGGTGTACTTGGACGGCAGTGCTGTTTGGATGTTTTGTTTGGGGAGGTAAAGTGCTGTTTGTTGATAGGGTGTGGTGCTGGGGTAATAATACCATTCCGGCATCCCTAACGGGGATATTGGGTGTGCAGGGAAATTAGTCACCAGCCAATAAATTCCTTATAGCGGGTGCATTAGTAAGAGATAGTCTACCTGATCACCCACCTGGAAGTACTTCTTGTGTGTGTTTGTTAGGTCCTATGAGACCACTTGGTATGTGCAAACACTTCTCATGTGAGACTGGGCTGGGTTAGAACTGTAGCTGGGGTCGATAATATATGGCCATGTGTGTGTCCAGTACTCAGTGAACTCGATACGGTGAAAGGAACGGTCCCAGGGAACAGTTCGAGTTACAGACAGCCTGTCTAGTGTAGACTGCACGCTCCGTTAGTCATGCAGTCAGTGTGTAGGTGTGCTCTCCTCTAAAAGCATCGCTGGGGACTCGTTTGTTTAGCCCTCACTTCAGAACCTACTCTACCTGAAAAACCAGAAAAGAAGAGACTTGATTGATTGCACTTTCAAGTGTTGTACTTGGTGCTGTTGAAAGATGACTACAGAGCTACACACTCCGGACAGGCACCTCGTGAACTACTCTCGCATTTGTCCGCTAAACTCCTATGACTTCACCCCGGCGAGGTTAACGCGGAGATCAGACAACCCACTGCTGCAAGAGCACTGCACTATCGACCTGCCAGCCCTCTACGTGACGCTGCGCAAGAGGCACAATCCTTCGCAGGAGCAGCTTCAGTCGCTTCTTGCGCGCGCTGCAGAGGGGGAGCGAAAGTTGCGCGGGAAATACATCGAGTTGCTGTTCGCGGACAGTTATCCTGGCTGTGACGTGCCTGCCGCAGTCCCCGCCGCCCGCACTAGGGGAGACTCGAACGTCGTATCTTCTCCGCAAAGAGACGGAGAGTGGGAAGATCCTCCGACGGCCCCTCCCACCTCTACTGCTCGGCCCTCTCCGCTCTTCATACGGAGTAGAACGGAACGCAGACGAACCGCGTTCCGCAAGCGCAGCGACGATACCAAATCTGGAGGCTGCGGCAGCGGGAGCCTCAGTACAAGCGCAGAGGAGACGGAGGACGAAGGGAGTACCAAGAGCTGCAGCCTGGCGAGCGAACCTGGAACTCTCCCCGACCCAGAGAGAGACATGGACGTCGAATCCGGCGTCGTGATGTACCACGACCGCCTGGGAAGGAGCGCCGATCCTGCAATCATCGGTAGTGTGGTGCAGCAGCACGGCCACAACTACGGTTACGTGCCCCGGCCTCTCGGTCGAGGGCTCGTTCGACCCGTCCCGTTTCAACTCCCAGCTGCAGAGGCGGCGGAAGCGCTGGAAGAAGCTCCGTTCAGCCCTCCATCCCGCGCACACGATCCGTCTTCTCCACCGAGCTCGTTTGGCGGAATGCGCCCCCTCCTCTGGTTGGCAGGAGGTTGATGAAGGGGGAGTCCCTGCAATGATTTACAGTCTCGAAGAAGAAGATGGAGAAGAAGACGATTCCTCGGGCTCTGACGTGTCTTGCGAATCACCTCGGTCGCTGCTCTCCAGTCGAAATCACCACCAACCTCTCGCACGGCAGTTGCCCCAAACTACCCCCTCCTCCCTCCCGTCATCTTCCCCAATCTCCCAAACCGGCAGCAACGCTCCTCACTCCAAGCCCCTCCCACCTCCCAAGACGAAATCTCAAGACGACGTGTTCAGGAGCTCCAGCCAAGCAGTGGAGAAGGTGAAAAGAAACAACAGCAAGTCTCATCCAGACCTCACGGAGAGCACGGCCTCCTCGTCTTCCTCGCAGTCCCTCCGCTCTCGCTCCGTGTCCTTCCTGGATTGCAGCGCCGGAGCCGAGCTGGGCAAGTACCCGGCCGACTATCTCGGCAGTCGTCAGGCCGACAGCTACATCGGACACGCAGACTCCGTCGCTAAGAGCTCATCAACTCTAAACCAGTCGAGGTGGTCGTGTACGTGATGTCGGAAAAAATCAGACTGGCTCCACCGAAAAACTCCTCACTTTTATTCAAGTCGTTTGCAGTGAAGGACATACTGTCGGTGCAGAAGTGTTCGAAGAACCGGCGCATCGTGTGCGTGTCCGTGTGGAAATCGAGGAGGACTCCGCCCCAGTGCCACGCCCTTCGCTGCCCGTCGGCCCTCGTGTCCAGCGCCCTCTATGACTCCATTCTGGACCAGACACAGAACGTGGACGACATTGCCTCCTCCTCTGATAAGGTTGGTTGTATTGAAATGTGGGAATTTTTCATTCACAGTCCGGGAGGGGACTAGAAAGTCCAACAATTCCTGACAAACAGTTTGTTTTTCATCTTTCCCTCATGGCCTCTGCATTTCTAACATTCTTCAGCTGTTGTTAGGAACAAAAATGTGTGACTACTTCTAAATCTTTGCTCGCCAGTTAACCCCTAACATGCACCTCTGCCTACACTGGGCTTACCTCGCAAACCTCTTTCCCTCCCCCTCTCTCTATGTGTTAGTGGAGTTCCATGGGCATACTCTCAGTTTATCTCACTCCCTCACCAAATGTTGCCGGGTCAGGTCACATACCAGTCCATCTTGGGCTGGCTCATTACAGTCGTTTATATTGTGCACATTCCATGCCTAATCACAGTTCAACGAAATACATACATTCCTTTCCCCATGGGATAAGGTTTCAATTCTGGTGAGCGTCAGTTGATCATTTTTGTCCATATCTATGTGGAATTTCACATCTTGCGTCATTATGGGTAATGCCTCGCTCAGGGCAAGGGTTCTGTGAGTAATGTGGTGCAGTGGGTGGCAAGTACGGTTGAAAGTATGCCATTTGGTGAAAGTTTAGAGTGGGACGTTGTCTAATTGGAGGGTTCAGCTAATTGGCCACCCAGTTTACCTTCCTCTCAGCTGTCTAAATTTGGTGATGTACACATCCTTATTCCCAGATCCTTCATTTTGGTAACTCTGAAAGGGTTTTATGGGTCAGTGGATGTAATGCCATATTTTGTCCATTAATCTACATAATTATATCATACGTACATGCGTCATGACGAGGGCTCTAAGTATTGTTGTGTGGGCAGAAACTGTGGGTGGCGAGGTTAGTTAAAAGATGCCATTACAAGAAGAGTTTGCGAGTAGTAGGTGCTGAATAATTAAAGGGTTCAGCCAATTAGACTCCCATTTCACTTTCCTGTGCCGTGTTATCACCCAACTTGGGCACACATACCTTTCGACTAGTGTTACAAGTGGTTCCTGAACTTTAGCAGTGACCCTTATCCAGATGGGAGCGAAATGTCGCATGTCACTCGGCGAGCCTGTACGTCTATTGCCTGGCAAGCCTGCATCTATGGCCACAATGGAGGATGGTAGTAGCTGTGGGTGGAGGGTAAAGAGGGCATTTTTTGGCTCCTATTCATGACACGAGTAGAGAAACTGTGTCTGTGGACATTGTCAGTGAATGGACTCCATTCAATGGAGCCTACAAGTCCTACATGACTCGTGACTACGTGCGGACAACCTTCACAAAGCCACTTCATTCTCTCTCTCTTTGTGTTTACCACGTGGCAAACTGAGATAATGACTCAGACAAGTCCCCTGTCTCATTACACATTGATTTTTGGTCTGAACCATGGCACTCCCTTCAACAGTGGCTCCTTTTGTGAGGGTGAGTAGGTCTCCAATGGCCTGCAGAGAGAGTGAGAGTCCCCCAGTGCTGAGCTGGGCTTTGTACACTGTGGGTTCACATGAGAGAGAATTTGGGAATAATGTGGCGGTAGTAAACAGTTTAAGAAGTGTCAGCACATAACCACTCACTGTGGGAGTCTCCTAGTGAATGGGCTCTTGATGATTGTTTTTTTTAACATGCTGTCTCCCTCTCTCCACCCCCCCTCTGCACAGTTGTCTTCCTCGAGACTCACAACTCTAAGTCCCGAGAGCTCTACCACCGACCATCCCTTCTCTACTAATGACAGGGACTTACCCACCCCACCCCCCATGACCCCCGACCCTTCATCTCCTCAGTCGCCCTCACAATTCCACATAGATTCCGGCAGTCCACGTAGGCTCCGCCCGGGCGGCCGACACGACTCCGTCAACGAAATCATCCAGAAGGTGCTGACAGACCAAACCCCCATGGGGTCGCGAGAGATCAGTGTCTGGCTGAGCCAGGCACAGCTGAGACTGGTGGACATGTCCGACGAGAGAGAGATGGTCTTCGAGGCACACGAAACAAGTCGCATCCGAGCGATCGGCGTGTACCTGGAGGACAAACGATTCATCGGTTACATCGTCAAGGAGGAGGGGAAGCCCCTATTGGGGCACGTTCTGAGGTGCAACAGTGCAGCGCTGATGGTTTCGCTCGTATCGTTCCTGCGACAGGCGGTCCAGATTACGTTCTCACAGCAGGGGGGCTCGCTGTACGACGAGCTGTCGTCAGATGAAAGTGATTCCGAGCCTTCAACAGAGGTCAGTGTATTACTGTGTGTAAGTCTTTGTACAGTGAAACCTCTGAATAAAGGACACCTTAAGGTTTTGAGATGTCCTTTATTCTGAGGTATTAGTATGGGGCAGAACCAAGTGCCCTTCATAGAGTGGTGTCCTTAATTCAGATGTCCTTTTTCGGATGTTTTACAATGTAAGTTTGTATACATAGGAGGAAGGGAAGTGTGGAAGCTTTGCGTTTGTCTTCAGTTTCCTTCTGTCTAAAACGAAAGTTGTCTTTCTCACCTTGACCTGGATGGTGGTGCTGCAATAATATTTCTGTGAAACTCCCTATGAGATCATTTTAGGATTTTCCTTGTTTCAGTTTGTGTCAAAACCACCGTCTCGGTGTTTATATGTTACCCATACTTGTCGTGTTGAAGAAGTTACGGAAGTGATTTTTTCCACTGTCTCACAGAGTGCTGCACAAGGCCAGGGACTGTTCAAGAGACTTCGCTGCATTGCGAATCCCCACAAGCCGCTCTGCCAGACCTCGTCACAGCCAACCTTTGTCTCCCATACTCCCCCTCCTCCCCACTCTCCCAACTCACACCAGTACTCCCCGGCACCCGCTGTCACTTCGTTCAAAACCCCTCCCCCTCTCTCCCCTCTGGATGTCCCAGAAGAACAGTTGCTCGTTTCCCAGTCACTTACGTCGGGTCGGCAGTCACCGAACCCCCTTTCTCGCCAACCTCTCTCGTGCACGCTCTCTCCGTGTTCAAGGAAGGGGGCGTGGCAGCCGGGAAGGCCGCGGTTGCAAAGAACGTCATCCAGATGCACGTGTCGTCTCTGGGGATCAACCTGGTGGACAAGAAACACAGACTGTTTGTGAACCGGAACTACCCCCGCAAGCAGCTGGTGGGTTACTGCAGGGACGAGGAGGACGAGAAACTGTTTGCGTTTGGTTCTCTGCGACAGGGCTACCCAAACGAGATCAAGTGTCACGTATTTCGCAGAGTTCAGGAGTCAACGGAGCACATCATGCAGGCCATTCACCACTGGCTCGAGCTTCCTCCGACCACTTCAGACAATCAACCATCCTCTCAACCTCACTAGTATATAGTCAGCCGCACACCTTTATTTATTTGTTTGTTGTTTTGTCAAATCCGTTGCTTGGTTGTAAGTACTCACCAGAGAGTACTATAGTTATTCAGATAATAATCTTGATTTTGTTGTTGTCAAACTACTGTACATACAATAAAGGTAACTAGAGACGGATACAAAACAGGATGGTGAATGAAATAAGAGATTGTGGGAGTGATGTATGAAGGAATGGTGGTTATATTGGTGATGGGGTCTTTGTTGGGCGACTGCCTCTGTAAAAGGTGCAGATATAGAGAGATAAAGTTTGCAAGAGACATAGAGATATGATAACACACACACACACACACAGAGAGAGAGAGAGAGGAAGGAAGGTCTGTAGCATTGTGTACAGTGCATGCATGTTGTACCCACTTGACTCCGCAGAGGCCAAGGAGGCAGGCGAGGGCCACACAGAACACTACGAAGACCAGGACACACAGTAAAACCCTTGAGATGGTATAGTATATCCACCCGTTCTGTGACGTCCATACTGGGGGATGTGTGTGCGTGTGTGAAAAAAACGGAGCTTGTGAACGGCTCCAGGCCGTCCACGAGCTAACTGACAGTGAGACTGCAGGTACGTTTGCGGACTGAAGTCAACGTCACATGGTGTATCGTCGAAGAGGAGGTAGTCGCTGACAAGGAAGCAGGCGAGAGAGAGAATCGCGGCCAAGATCACCGGTCCTGGAGGAGGTGCCCGTGCCTTGGCTCTGGCCACCACTGCCTTGGTCTGAGCCGTCCTGGCGGCCTTTGACTCGTGGAAACTCGCCATCTTGCCCAGCACGAGCTGTAGCTGGAGCCACGCCCCCACGAGGTCGCGGGGTTTTCCCTAATCATCTGCTTTGCACGGTTTTTTTGGAAACGTCATGTCGCCTAGTGGTAAAGCTGCCGCTGTAGGCGTGCTAATGGCCTCGTTCCTGCTCTGGCTGTGGCTCTACGACGCTCAAGAAACAGAGGACGAGGTCGCTGAGTGGCTGGAGCAGCTGGGGCTCCTTCACCTCCGAGGACACAGCCCCTTCAAACGTTAGTGTGTTAGTCCACACATATCTTCCTCACCTCTCCTATCTCTATCTCTAGATTTGAGCAGTCTGGAGGAGCTGGTCAGAGTGGACCTGGACTCCCTGCCTGAGGCCCTGCAGTGGTCCTCCTCTCTCCCATGTCCTCAGCCAGGGACTCCGGCTGCTGGAGCTGAGACTGTGGCTGCGGGAGGGGGAAATGGAGGACCTTCTGCCCCAGCTCCTGGAGGCCGGGCACTCCTCCATTCACAGTCTGCTGGCTCTGGGTCCTTACGACGTCAAGAAAGTTAGCTCCAGTTTGTTATATAGTGGAACCTCTGACCTTAACAAACTCAGAGATTCAGACTATTATTAGCCACCAGATCGAAACAAGTGTGCTTTATTTGGAGTGTCCTTTATACGAGGTTCCACAGGCATGCTTAAAATATCTCCTCACCCTCCTTCTACACCTCCTCTACAGCTAGCCAGCCAGCTCTCACCTGCAGAACAAGGAGAGGTTTTCCGAGAGAGACTTCGCCACAATATCTCCACAGCTACCTCGGATAACTCCATCAGTACGTCTCCACTATTCTGAACCATACACAATACTAGTCTTATGTCCACACATCTGCAGGTATTCTGTGGCATCTACTGCATACCTTTCTCTCCGTTCTGTTTGTAGTCATCATCTTCACCATTGCTCTCAGTAAGTAACAAAACACAGATCGTTTCTCTATAATCGTCACTCCCTTTCTTTCCCCAGTGGCCTTGTGTGTTTGGGTTGTTCTGTCAGGGGCAAGGTCCGTGCAGGAGAGGGTTAACTGGGCAGCTGCAATGAGCCCCGGGCAGCAGGGGGTTAACCGGGAAACTAACCGACTCCGCAACTCGCCCTGGCTGAGTGAGATTCTGTCTCGAATGAATGGAGACACGCAGGCTTCTCGGACGACTCACTTGCCAGAGGTTGAGGAGGAGGAGGAGGAAGATACTCCACGTGACATGTCTGGTGGAGCACTGGATCCAGATGGTTGTAGACTGGAGTGGAACCATGACGATCGCGCTGTAGTTGGTACTTCATCAGTTGCAACACTTCATGTGAGTTGATTACGTAACATTATAGCACACTTTGAGGAAAAAGTTTCAGCAAATTTTCAGATTCAATTTCTTTGAAAATTTTGAGGGCGGAGACCATTGTTCAGTGTGACATGAAATCCACGAGATTTAAACTCTGGTTTTTCCACTGAATCGAGAAGCGTCATAATTTCCGTACACAATTTAACATTATTGGCTGTTTACTTTTCAGCTTGTCCGTCGCAACTTTGCTCCGTATGAGAGACAGAGATCGGATCGAGTGAGGATAACTGTCACCCACACACCCACCGGGACACTGGTCCCCCATCGAGTGGAGCCAGCCACGCCCAGCCAGCTCCGCCTCTCGTTCTCAACCCGTCAGACAGGGACTTACTCGCTCCACGTCAGGCTCAATGGGCGGAGTCTCGCTGGGACCCCAGTCAACAGAACCTTCCTTCCAGGTAATGTAGCCAAATATGTCTGTATTGAACTTTGATAAGTGCAGTATTGCCGTTGCACCGAGTCATGTAGGAACAGAATCACGTGTACTATTGAAATATGAAATTTAACAGAACGAACTCCATGTTTTCACGTTTTTTGGAGAATGCATTTGAAAGTGTGAGTAAAGCCTACCTATTTGATATTGTCTGTTTTCTCCTCCGCTCCACGGCAGCAGAGAGAAGAAGAGGGAGTTGGGGGTTGTTGAGTGTGTTTGAAGACTGTCTGAGGTTCCTCCTTCAACCACCTCCCCAGCAACAACAGAGAGGGGGCGGGGCCACTCTAGGCCACACCCCCTCTGACCAACAGGGCCAGACTCCGGAATGTGATCCCGGGAGGTGTCGGCTGGAATGGAACCAGGACGACGGAGCTCCAGTGGGCGGGGCATCTGTAGTGACCCTTCTTGTGAGTATATACAGGGAAAACTGTCAAATTAATCCGTTTGCTGGCTCGTAATGAAATTTAACAACAATGAGAATTTAGATCAAAGTGTGTATTCTCTCATATACTCTAGCTGGTGTCACGGGACTCCGCCCCCTACAAGATGAGGTCATGTGACACCCTGACTGCCACTATTAGACACACCTCCACCAAGACAGTGGTCCCCCATGTGGTGGAGCCAGCCCCGCCCACTAATCACAGCAAGCTCCGCCTCTCGTTCTCAACCCGTCAGACGGGGACTTACTCGCTCCACGTCCAGCTCAATGGGCGGAGTCTCGCTGGGACCCCAGTCAACCGAACCTTCATTCCAGGTAATGTATATTTTCCGACGTTAGCTTCACGCACCTATAGCTAATGTGTACTTCAGTTATCATGTATATAGAGGTTAACAAAATTTCAAACATATGTTTGAGGCACGTTTGGAGAATTTTGAAGTATACGTTGTTGCGACACTTTGAGTGTGCGACAAGTGGAGTATGAAAATGTGCTCCTCCCCACAGGTCCAGTAGATCCTGCCAAGACCAGTTTCCCAGATCATCCCCAGTGGCTGGTGGTGACAGCTGGGACCTACCACTCCATGACCGTCGTCCCTAGAGACGCCTATGGCAACGCCGCCACAATACAACAAGACCACCTCACTGTCAACATCAGGAAGGTGAGGAGAGAGGGAGGAAGTACTTAGACCTTGTGAAACAGTTTTTCTCTCCGCGCAAGATTCTCATTTGCATGTTCTCACTTGAGATTCCGTCTCTGTGATTCAATTATCCCTCCCTCTATACCCCCGTCCTCTCTTCCTCTCCCTCTCCTCTCCTCCTCTCCTCCTCCTCCTCTCCTCCTCCTCCTCCTCCTCTTGCCCAGGGAGGGCCAGAAGGAGAACTGGTCAACCCAGAGTGTGTGGTGGGGAGAGTTCCCAACACATCTCAGTATGAGTTGCTCCTGAAGGTGGAGACCTCAGGCCACTACATTGGCTCCGTTCTCTACAAGGTACATAATCATAGTGACAGAATTCAAAAAGTGACACAGTTTCTATAGAGTTCTAAAACCTGTTTTATTTTGCTGACGTTTCAGATAATGGCAATAGGCAAAAACTTAGCCATAAGAAAAGTCCCCAGAAGTACCTCACCCCCTTCCTCCACTTCCTCCTCCTGACAGGGTCAGATAATAGGGCCTCCTCAGTTCACCATCATCTCCCTGACACCCAACGAGGCAGCCACAGTCAACAAGAGCATCACCAAGAGGACTGTCAACCTTTACTACGAGGCCTCGGTAGCCAGTGACGGTCGACACAAGAAGGTCTTCTGCTACCTCTCCCCCAAGGTTAGTAGGAAGAATGTCAATTTTGGTTGTGGAGTATGTCCCTAGCTTGAGCAGGCTTCAATCTCACATTCAAGGACATTTCCCCACAATGCATTCATTTACCTAATTTCCCCGCTTCACCAACTTGTAATGGTTTCCATGGTTTTATAATCTTGTGGAAGGAAATATCGACTAGAGCATTGCCTCAAGAGTGACTGTGGAGAATAGGGTGGCCTAAAGTTGCATTATGCACGTGTACATGTAGGTGAGGATATGATACTAGAGATCTTCAATGCAGACTCTGTATAAAGATTTGTAGGAATGAGTACATTACAACTGGTGACTGCTGTGTTTGCATACCATGTGACTTCCGCAGCAACTCCAGGTCAGAGAGTACTACCTAAAGTTCATTCCCTACCGAATCTACACCTGCAAAGTCTGCCCCTCCACCAGCGTGAGTGATCATGTGACCATCACATGACACCTCTGTCTCACGTGCCCATCACATGACCAGATCCACCCTGGGTGTTGGAGGAGGGAGAGTTCACAGTGGACGATGGTACCAGGCACCCCTATCACTTCGGTCCAGACAAAGGGAGCTCATCAATCGCTGCCACATACTACAAATACGCTTCTCAGGAACATTGGTATAGCATTTTGGGGAGAGAAAAGTTTATAAATGACCAGATTGCAGCGAAACCTTAGCGAATTCCTGGAGTATCCTTAATATTTATCTTCTCTTTACTAGTTTCTCCTAGATACGGATGTTTTCTTATTTTTGCGGAATCCAAAAATTTTTCCTGCTGGAAAGTTTTCTGGTGTTCTGTGTAGGAGGGTCGGAGCAGTTCCAGGACAAGAGGAAGTTCTTCAACTCGGAGCTGAGGAGCCACCACTCCAAGGACCTCGCGGAGAGAAACACCTCCACCATCGACCGTTTCAACCTCCTGCAGAGTGTGAGGCAGCTGCTACATGTAGCTGACCCCTCCATCTCTGTGCTGCTAGCCCAGTGAGAGCTGCAGTATCTGCGGTAGCTTGTCCATACTGTCAGAGATTATGCATTGAGTGTGTGTGTGTGTTGTTAGTGTGTGGTTGTTTCCTCAAGTGGTTATGTTGCACGTTTCCTTGTGATTGCTAGTTTCCTAGCCTCACAGTTGTACCCCATTGCCAGATGTGCACCTTCATAGTGCAGTTCAGCCTCACACTGTACACTCATAGTGCAGCTCAGCCTCACACTGTACACCCCACTCATAGTGCGCTCAGCCTCACACTGCCACTCTATGACCTCATTGTGCACCATTACTAGATTTTTACCACGTGTGTCACAATCAACCTTACCACATGTGTGTGTGTGTGTGTGTGTGTGTGCAGGCAATGAAGGAGACTAAAGGTTTCAGTGCCTCCGACTGGCACAAGGCATTCACAGTCACTTTCATTGGAGAAGAAGGTGAGCAGACAAGCTACCCTTCCTCCCTGAATATGTGTCCCTCTCTCTCTCTCTCTCTCTCTCACTTCTGTCAGCATTGGACTGGGGTGGAGTGAGTCGAGAGTTCTTCCACCTCCTCTGCACCCAGTGTTTCAACTGTTCCAACGGAATGTTCCGGAGGTTCAAGGACGACTCACAGGCTCTGGTCAGCACACCTCACTACATAACCCAAACCAATTGTAATTTCTACTTTCAAAAAACTTTTACACAAACTTGTTTTTGAGGGGAAAGTCGGAAAAAGGGTCGGTTATCATGACAGCCTTAAACTATTGAAAGAATGGTAAATCAGTTTTTGTAATTCCACCGAAAAGCTCTGCAGTGTTATATGCGGTGTGTATGTGCCAACCTCTAAATACACACACACACACACACCTCCCCAGGTTCATCCAAATCCTCACCATCCTCCCACCGTCACACCTCACCACTATCACTTTGCCGGTCGAGTGGTCGGCAAATGTCTGTTCGAGAGTTCTCTCGGAACCAACCTCCACGTCTCGGCCCACTTCACCCGCTCCTTCCTCGCACAGATCATCGGCCTCCGCATCAACTACAAGGTTTGTTAGGTCACCGTGGCAACTAGCTCCGTGTGACATCATCAAGAATGATCTCATATTGAAAATGCACGGTGTCTTGTTATCAAAACCACGATCTCTTGAGAGATGCCATCGTTATGTGTTTTTGGTATGGAGAGAATGAAGATACCCACAGTATACATGTTTATGGTGTTGCTTAATTCCCAGGAACATACATATTAACCACACACCTACAATAATTACTGAATATCTGTGGTGAATGGGTTAATGGGTGGTATGCACTATATGCTGTGGGTTGTCATCTGTGAAAAGGAGGGGAAGGAAGAGGGGTAAGTTAGTGAAACATGTTCTGTCTGTCTGTCTCTCTGTCTCTGTCACCCAGTATTTTGAGAGTGATGACCCAGATCTCTACGTGAGCAAGATACAGTACATCAGAGAGAACGGTGTGAGTGACCTGGAGCTGGTCTTTGCAGAGGAGGAGTTCTCTGAAGATGGCACATGTCAGGGTGAGAGAGAGAGGTGAGAGGAGGGGCAATGCACAGATAACTATAGATGTGAGGCACATAATGTCAAGAAATGAAATGAAAGCATCTGGTATATACTGTAAAGACCACCCAATGTTTGACTTGGAGGTGGTTTAATATCTCTCTCATTCTCTTTGTGTGTGTGTGGGTCAGGTGGTACCACTGGAGGAGGGAGGGGAAGAGAAACCGGTGACAGATGAGAACAAGACACACTACCTCGACCTACTGGCTCAGTACAGGACTGGCCAAACAGACCAAGACACAGGTTGGATGGAACACTTTGTGAAGGGTGAGCTAAAAGAGCAACCACACACACACACACACACACACATGTAGGTAATAGCGAGTGAAATATCCTTATCACAGGCCTGTATGTATAGAGGCTAATTTCAAAGGCAGAGTACAGCACTCAATGAGGGCTGGGAGTCCAGACCACAACCTAAGGGGTTGGCAAGGTACACGTGGGAGTATGATCAATAGCTACATGTAGGTGGCACTTCCCTTTCCCTGTTGCCACCCCCTCAGACTATGTATGTGGTGTATAGTATTGTGTTGTGTCATGCCCTGGCAAGTTTCTAGTCCCGTGTGAATGTCAGGATTCTTCACGTGTCATCACTTCAGTTTCATGGTCCGATTCTAACTGTTTCGACTTACCAAGCAGCCGGCAAAGAATTTCAAACTTGCAGCACACCCTTTTTACTCCAACGAAGTAGAGTATTACGCTTGTTGTACATAATACCTGTTTGCTCTTGTTCGTAGTAGCCATACGATACACTTGAATCCCAGCACACTAAGTACCTAGTGAACCTCATGACTTGGTCACATGTCACCTCTCAGTTCCAATTACCTCCTTGACTCATGTGTTGGTACAATCTTAGTTCCAGTGTCTCTTGTGACCCTCTGGCTAACTGTAGTTGGTCTAGTGTGTGCTGGTGGGGTCATGTGAATTCTCTGTCTTAGAACTCAGTTGTTGACAGTCTGATTCCTATTCAACCTTCATATTCCTATCTGAGGTCTGCACGATCTCATTCCTGACAATCTCCTGGGATATTTGACGAAAATGAACTTGAGGTATATAGGTAGCTGCATGTGTACCATCGTTCTACATTACAGTCATGAGGCACTTATTAAAGTTCCCCCTTACTATCTCTTTCACTCTCCGATCTCATCCCCTCTCTTCCACTGTCTTCATTACAATGTGGTGTATGCAGCTGCTAATGTGTGGAACAGACGCGGTGAGCTACGACGACCTAAAGAAGCACGCGGTGGTGACTCCCAGCGCCAACACAAACTTCCAGAGAGTGGTCTCGTGGTTCTGGCTGGTTGTGAGTGGTTTCACTCGCGAGGAAATGGCCCGACTCCTACAGTTTGTCACCGGGTCCTCTCAGCTACCTCCGGGAGGTTTCAAGGACCTCAGTCCAAAGTTCAGATCACCTCTGCTCCCACCCACGGCCGCCTGCCCTCCGCACACACCTGGTGAGTGGGTGCCTGTCAGATACATCTGATTATAGGAGTTTCCCCCCACCCTCAGTTTCAACCAACTGTGTCTCCCGGAATATGACTCCTGTGAACAGTTTCAAACGGCACTAACATTGGCACTAAACGAAGGAACGGAAGGATTTGGCTTCCTATAGCAGCATTGCTTGTGTGTGTTTTATGTGGGCACGTGCTTTTCACGTGTTAGATTTTTACGCATGCGCAGCTCTTTATTAAAGATTCGCCCCTCGGTCGATCCCGTAAAAGCGGTGTTTGCAAAAAGGAGGCAGTTCAACTGGTGAAGAGAGATGGGTCAAGTCAAGCTGCACCCGTGCGGGCACTGCCTGCGTTTCACCCTCATCATCTGGAACATCCTAGTGGCGGTGAGTCTGGGACCGCCCGTGTGTTCGTGCATGGCCGCGAGGCGGCTGGTGTTTCGTATCTGTTGAGAGTCTTGCTCGTGTCGTGTTCGGGGAGTGTGAACAGCGAAGCAACGGTACAGTGTTCATAGAGCATGAGTTGGTGCAAGATCTAGGTCGTAAGGGGCGTCATTTTCCACTTCCGCCCCTCGCTTGTCTTCGTTTTTCGGCTGGCGACGCTGCATACGTAGCACCTCAGTGGGTGGCGAGCCATGCGCCTTTCGTCTCTCACTTCACTAATGAATGAACCGTTCTCATTTGGCGACGGAAGCCAATGCGCATTAGCACCCGTTCTTTCGCGCGCCAGCCACGTCCTGAACTACTTTTTATGGCTACCGGCATTGTCTGTAGCTCTAGGGCTGCAGCACTGGCGCGTGGACTGTTTATCCGAGCAGAAACTGCCAGTAGTGGCTCTAGAATCATGACCGTCATCAGTAGTAATGTGACCATGCTGAATCAGCAGGTGGGCGTATAATATGTTCTGCCCCTCTCTCATTACCTCAGATGATCGGAGTTGCAGCTCTGGCTGTAGGTATATGGCAGGTGGTAGAGAACGACGACTATTCAGACCTAACTGGACAAAAGTGAGTGCAGATACCATGTCTATGCCAGTCACACCTTTTTTATTTCACATTTTCTCGTCTTGCTGCAGCAACACGGCGGCCGCAGCCTTTAGTATTGCAGTGGCATCATTGCAATTCTTGTAGCCCTGCTGGGCATTATTGGAGCTATTGCCCTGTCCCGCATACTTATTGGACTGGTGAGTTAAGAAACAGAGACAAAGGGAGTGGAGTACATGGGAAGCAACGTATACTGGTTTATCTCTCTCTCTGTTGTGTGCAGTATGCTGTGATCATTGTCATCTTTATCGTCCTCGAACTGGTCAGCGGAATCCTCGGCTTCGTCTTCAGAAGCAACCTGGTGAGTTGCCACACCCACCCCTCGGTTGCCATGACTACAGTCGTTTGTTCTTCAGGAGTCCACGGTGACTGACAATGCCGAGGAAGCCATCCGTGGCTACCAGAACAGTACTGCTGACAGGAGTATTATTGATCGAATTCAGGACGAAGTGAGTTATCCAAAAGAGAGAGGAGAGAGAAACAGAGGCAGACAGAAACAAGGGAAGGCCGGGAGAGAGAGAGATACGTGAAAATTGGTCCATAACACCCCCCTACACACACACACAGTTTGAGTGCTGTGGCTGGAACAATTACACCGACTGGGGGGATAATACTACTGACATCCCCTCGTCCTGCGACTGTAACGATGACAACGACGACGATGGATCGGGCGGCGACTGCATTGGTGTTGATGGCCGAAGTGTCTACAGAGACGTGAGGCCCCTCCCCCCTGTCTTATAGACCTCTCTCTTCTCTCTCCTCCCTCAGGGTTGCCGGGAGGATGGTACTTGATTTCCTGGAAAGGTACCAGCTGGTGTTGGGATCTATTGGAATTGTGTTTGCCGTGATCCAGGTGAGGCTGTATACATTACCTCCCTCCTCCCTCACACACACTCTCTCTCTCCCTGCTTCCAGATTGCAGTGGTGGTGATCTCCATCATCCTGTGTCTCTGCATCCACAAAGCACAACGGGAATACACTACTGTTTAGGACGACCCATCATTTTATTACTGAACCTCTACAATACATTAATTGTCTTTACCTACAGCCCCTAATCGTTGCATGCCCTTATGTTATGACGTATAATTATAGTACTTTTAGCCACTATTATGAGTGTTTTGTACAAGCTGCAATTAATGTGAAAATATCACGCTGCTTTTTTCCACTCATGTGGTATGTATAATTCTGTATGAGTGAAAACGTGAGAGCGTTGAGTCGAGGGCAACACATCACTATAAACAACGTTCTACATTAATACAATGTGGGAGATGGTGGAGATGGGAAGGGAGGAAAGAGAAAGGGACGAATCAGAGAGAAGTGGCAGTGAAGAAAGGGATGAGCTCGCAGTTCCTCTGCTCCGTCCAGACCTCCTCCTAGTCTCTCTTGAGGGTTGACCTGAAGCAGCTGCATATACACACACACACAACACAGCAGACAAGAGTAAAACTCTATGAACATGACATACCAATTTGGCTATTTTGCCCAGCTCTTGGCAGGCAATGTACATTGTACACTGTTCACTAGTTTTGGGTGGGTGGTGGATTTAAATCCAACCGTAACTGCAAAGCCAAACCTCAGAATGTAATCCAAAGGCCACCTGTACATACATACCTGTTGGAGGAAAGACGAGGTCTCAGGAGAAAGAGTGCAGGGGACACGGAGAGGTATATGTGAGTTCACCCCTCCTGGATGGCACGACAGCAGGGTCTACAAACAGTGCAATAATCACCATAAACCACTGGTTATAGAGGTTTATACACCTGTCCTGTTAGGACCTCGTACAGAATGGCTCCCAGGCTCCACCAATCAGCTGCCGGTGTAGCTTCCTCTAAACCTCTCAGCTCTACGTTCAGCAGCAGAGAACACAGAGTTAAACTACTCAAAGTGAGGAGTAAGATGTGGAAGAAAGTGAGAAACACTCAAGAAAGAAAGCTTTGGTAGTTTAGTGCAAATAGGTTTCACGTTTCACAGAAAAAATTTCACAGATACTCTCAAACTATGCAAGTAGAAAGCTAGCATACATACAGTGGCAGACCTGGAGCCACATACAGGCGACCGGCAAGCTCAGCTTTCTCTCTCTGCTTGACAAAGTCCCACTTGCCAAAGTACGTCAATAGAGCATTGCCTGAGAGGGGGACAGAGTAATATGAGAGCCTGTTTGGCCCTAGCCTACACTAATCACCCATGACAGCCATAGTTAAGTCACTCTGACAGCATGTACATATTAGCATCATCATTATACGTACCTGACATGTCCAAGAGAATGTTGTCAGGATTCATGTCCCTGTGTGTATATGAGAACACAAGTCAGAGAGTGCAGGAGAGAGGAGAGGGAAATAAAGACGGACTTGCAGATGGTTCCGTGTCGATGGAGGTGCTCCAATGCTGCGATGATCTGCAATGCCCACTGCTTCACACTCCCCTCCAGTCGCTGCATCCAGTCATCCACCTGTGGGGAGACGAGAATCCATTTCTCTCTCCCCCCTCTCTCCTCTTCTTCCTCACCAAGTTGCTGTTTCCAGGTGAACTCTGAAGAGAAGCTGGCGAGAAACAAGGAGACTTGCCACGAGCAGTCCCCGCCCCTTTTCCTTCCCCGTCTCCATCACCGTGCCGACCACTGGTAGTCGACGGCAACATTTCATCGTCACACGACTTCAGACTATCGGTGGTTGTCAGTCTGTCCACCCCATCCTCAGATGGGACATCCCGAGAACCGCCATCTCCTACTAGCGATGGTTCATTGCCGGCAGTGGTAGTCGGAGTTGGAGGCTCAATATTTATTGCAGCTGTCACTGGAGGGAGAAACATAATCAACTCCTCTTGATGTGAATAAACCATACAAGAAAGCTAGTTTGTTGCTCCAAGTGTCACAGAGGCAAAGGTTGAAAAGTGAGTGACGAAACTGCACACATGCACCAAGTTGAGTCAGTGTGTGTGTAAGGTTGGCACCGTTTTTCTTTCCAGAAGCTGTGTCAGAAGGGGGTGTGGTAGTGGGCGGAGTCACAGCACCCTCGCTCCCATCCTCTGTCTCCATAAGTCTTCTCCTCATGGCTGCGAGTGTGTCCAGCGAGCTGTTCGCAGACCCACTCCCTCCCTCCGTCAGACTGTCCTCTAGGAGTGGGGTAGTGGATGGTGGGCTAATGAGAGTCATTTCACCCAACATCTTCTCCATATCATCCTCCTCTTCCTCTCCCTCTTCTCCAGCTGTCTCCCCAGGAGACTGGCGGCCATGGAGGACGAGAGGGGAGGAAGACGGAGGGTTAATGGCTGCGTCTCTCAGGAGCTCCCACTGCTGTCTCCGGGCAGCCACTAGATCCACCATCCTCCCTCCCCTGGCGTGCTCTAATAGGAGGTAGACACGGTGATTGGCGGTTTCGTAGTGATGAAGCAGCTGGACCATATGCGGACATTGAGTCTGCGGGGATGACATCATAATATCTATGTTACTAACAATAGAAACAAGACGACATCATTACCGGTGATCTATTTACGGTATTTTTCGGCCTTCCTTTGGGGACGGCAGCCAGTGCTATGAGTGACTTGTGGAGAACCTGTGCAAAAACAAATTCAAATTTCAGTGAAAATGAAAAAATATTTTGTGTGAACACACCTTGAAGACATAGGTCTGCTGATTGTGTCTACTTTGAACCAGTATGACCTGAAGTGAGTTAAGAATGATGTAATGATTATGTCACGATTAATTCGTGGATTACCTTTCCAATCAATCCGATGGGTTTGAAGTCTTTAAGCAGATGTGGTGTCATGGCAACGGGAGCCTGAGGGGGTGTGTCAGTGGGTGTGGAGTCTCACACAGAGAGTGGGTGTGGCTTACGGGAGTGGGAGGGGCCTGAGACGAGAGGTGGATTTGATGGAGGGCCTCGGCATATCTGAGATATTCCTCAGTCTTCTGGCTCACCAGCTCTCTCCTCCGCCTACTCTGCTCAGCTGTAACCACACCAATACAAGACACAGCAAAAGACAGCACAAATCTCGAAAAGGCTACAGTGACATGTATGCTGCAACAAAATTTTGCTCGGTTACGTTGAGTTTCCTGCAATACAGTGCATTAAAGCATTTTGACCATGTGGCTGTCATGTGATCCCCTCATTTGGTCACATGACAGTCACGTGATAAACACTCTTCCTCCTCACTCTGCACTCCATTGAGGAGGACGTCCACTGCTGCCTTGAAGAGATCAAAGGCCTCTTCATACTCTCTCTCCTGTTCGTACTGCAGAGCCTTTCGAACGAGACGCCCTGCCTGCACTATGTATGCCACCTCCTCGGAGTGGGCGGAGCCTGTCGACGGGGACGGAGACCTCGAGGTAAGGGGTGTTGTCTCCGTGACGACGGACTGATCGTGTGAGGCAAGGTTTGCGCTCACGGCACTGGCCGAGGAGACTTCTTGGTCCTCTGCTGAATTAGCTCCACTTTTCTCGGTTGCTGGAACAACGGACCTCTCTTCTCCTCCTCTCCTCTCGTCAGTAATGGAAGAAACATTCTCTTCAGCTGAACCAGTGGCTCCGGCTTTGTTCTGTGTTAATGTAACATCGGTCTCTTCTGTTTTCTTCCTAGCTTCCTCTCCCTCTTGTACCTTCATCATCCTTTCTTTCTCGTCCTTCTTTTCCCCCTTCTTTACCTCCTTCTTATTCTCCTCACCGTCTTTCCCTCCAACAGAAGAACTTCCCTTGGCCGTCCCTTCCAGCTGCTCCACCAGAGCGTCAATGTCCTCCATGTTCTCCGTCTCTGCCAGAGCCTCCGCCCACCAGGACATCGGTCCCTCCAACTGGGGCGGGGCAGCAGTGGGTGTGATGGGCGTGGTCGGGAGTCCCAGACACGAGAGAGAGAACGGACTGTCCGGTGGGGGAGTCCCCGGCGTCGTACCGGAACGAGACTTATCTGGAGTACGGAATGCAGACGCGGCAGATATGGGAAGAGTGTTAGGCTGGGATTCAACAGATTCCGTTTCTTCTGAAGCATCTTGTCGAGCTTTCTCACAGTCTGCTGGAGTTAGCGTGTCCTCCCCCTCCCCGTCTCTCTCTCCCCTCAGTCTTAGCGTGTGCTCGAGACCACACTCAGACACATTTACAGACCCCACCTCCGTCCCCTCCCCCTCGCTCTCCTCACCCAATTCCGGTGGCGTCACTATCTTCAAAAGTCTCTCCGCGTGCTCGGCGCAAGCCTCGTCAATGCTCTCCACGCTGCTGTAGTCTGTACTCAAATTTGTCCCCGGGGGAACTGGACTGCCCCCCGGGGGAAATTCCGAACTGCCCCTTAGGTAATTGGGACTGGGTCTCCCGCTGTTAGTATGGCTTGGGCTTGGAGTGTTGGAATGTGTAGGGGGGTTTTGTGGGGGGACCCTCAAATCTTGCGGGTTCGTTGAAAAATCTTGCTGATCGGGGGTTGTGGATAAGGGGGCGTGGTTTTGATCGGTGGGAATTTCTCCGTTCTCGTTGACGTGGGTGTGGGTGTTGTCGGGGAACTGTGTGGAGGAAGGTTGGGACTGGTTTGGCAAAGAGGGACAAGATGGAGGGGGAGTTGCTGGCATGATTCTCACAATCTGGGCTCCCTGTAATGGCACACAGAGAGACTCGGACGGTATGGCTGGAGGGGGTGTGGCTTACGGCGAGGAAGGCCCGGAGAGGGGTGGAGTCGGAGAGATGGGGGGAAGAGGTGGCAAACTGGAGGACAGCCTCCGCAGACTGGCGTCTCTCTTCCACCACTGCTTCCTTGAACCGATCTGAAGGAGAGAGAGAGAGAACAAGTTTTTGAGCTGTGTGGTTTTAGCATAAATAATATTATTACGTCTCTCAATAGGACCTAGGCACCAGTATTATTAACCAACTTCCAAAACAGCCCAGTGCACAAAAATCTCATGCCTTGGCACTGCATTGCGGTAATTTTCGATAGGGCAATATTTTTGAATAGGAACTAGCCTTGACTATACACTGCTTGTTTGGATCAAATAAAACAAGGTATGCAGTAGGCAGACAAATCACGCACCAACTAAACTGATATACTACTACACGAAAAACAGTGATGTTGGAGAAAAATAGGCATAACACTAGTTTAAGACCTACCAAAATATCTGGTCTTGACGAGGCGAGGGAGGGCGGAGGAGTGGGTGTGGTTCTGGGCGTGGCAGGTATCCAGCTGTCTGGAGAGTTGTTGGAAATCTCTGAATCTCTTCCACAGTTCACACTGAGGGAGAGAGGGAGAAAGAGGTGAACAAACAGAGAGTGAAAAGAAACACATCGTCACAGACAAAGGCACATGTTGACACAGTACAAGTCTCATTGAGAGAAAAGACTTGAACACCTTTGCAGCTTTTGACCGACTGTTGCTCTGCCACAATAGATAATAGCACAGCCTCAGTGGGTCGTACCCCCACAGCCACACAATAGGCAAACAACCTCTCCTGTCTATCTGAAAGCCCAGGACCCACACTCGCCATGCACTGGCTCACCTCCAGGTAGACCGGCAGACCCTCGGGGTTCTGCGACAGCACCTGAGGGGTCGGTGGAAACAAGGGCTCACGGAGGGTTGGGGCAGAGAACTCAGCAAACTAACGACCTTGAAGAGGAGTCTGTAGATGGTGAAGCCTCCCTCGGCTCGCTGAGCGCCGGCAAGGATCAGACTCCCTGCTACAACTGAGCCGGCGCTCTCCTTCGTCAGCAGCAGCCCGGGGTCTTGCACGCTCCCCGTCGTCGAAGCCATCGTCCGTTTCTCTTACTTTCTTCGATGCCACGAGAGTAGTGAGTAGTGAGCTTCAGTCTGCTGCACCTTGACCCCCAGGCCCAGGCACTGCTATGACGTCACCAATTCCATGCGCATGCGCTACATTAAGGTGGGCGTTATTTGAAATCGCCAAACGAGCTTCATAACAAGTGCAAGATGGGTCTTCTATCGATCCTAAAGAAGATGAAACAGAAGGAGAAGGATTGCAGAATCCTAATGCTGTATCCTTTCCTTGTTACACCTCCAGTAGTTTCACTGAGACTATCTTTACCTTGACACTGTGTATGTGTTGTCCAGTGGTCTGGATAATGCCGGGAAAACAACGATAGTGAAGAAGTTCCTGGGAGAAGACATTACTACCATCTCTCCAACTTTCGGCTTCAACATCAAGACTGTGGAACACAAGGGGTGGGGGCTGTTCACAGTTTACATTAGTTAACGTCTTGTGTCTTGTGTTTGCACTATGAAGGCTCAATCTAAACATATGGGACGTGGGAGGTCAGAGGTCACTCCGTTCCTATTGGAGGAACTATTTTGAGGAGACAGACGGAGTGGTGTGGGTGGTGGACAGTGCCGACAGGAGAAGACTCGAGGACTGCCGAGTTGAGCTACACACCCTCCTGGTTCAGGAGGTACGATCTTCTCTCCCTCTTCCTCTCTCTCTTATGCTTCCTACCACCCTCCCTTCTCTCCCTCCCCTTTCCTCTTCCTCAACCCCTCTTACTATACCAAATTACCTTTTCAAAGGTTTTGCATAAGAAATGAATTTTCCCTCAGAGATTGGCTGGAGCTAGTCTCCTGGTGTTTGCCAACAAGCAAGACTTGCCAGGAGCCATGACTGCCGAGGAGATCAGAAAGGTTAGCTGTCACTCAATCCCCCAGACCCACAGCTACCTCGCCCTCAATCTGCTGTCTTTCTCTCTCCCTCTCCTCCCTCCGTGCACTCCGGCATGCAGGTCCTTCAACTGGACTCCATAGAGACACATCACTGGATGATAGTTCCCTGCTCTGCCGTCACCGGAGACCAGCTCTTGGAGGGCGTTAATTGGCTAACATCTGACATTTCGTCCAGAATATTCACCATGGACTGACACCTCTTACTAACACATTTTTGTTCATTTCTTATTCGCCTTTGTATCTATCTTTGTGTGTGTGTGGAAGGGAAGACATTTCTTCTTCCAGCTTCCAACCAAACCGTTCTGTTTTATTATGTTGAAGTGGACGTTAAAAAGAAATTACAGAGAAATGGTATCATTGTTGTCGTGTCTCATTTCATTCCAGGGTTGTCCTTAGAGAAATCTTGCAGTGAACGAAACTCCATGTGGCCAGTTGGTCTAGAGGCATGATTCTCGCTTTGGGTGCGAGAGGTCCCGGGTTCGATTCCCGGACTGGCCCTGCTTTTATTTTTCAACCTCACTTTGTGACCACATCACACTCTGCATCTATCATGATTTCATATTCTTTTTCCCTCTAAGGTGGAAGGTCCATAAAATGACTCTACAAGAAGTACATACCAACATGTGCTCTATTAACTGATGGTCACATACATAAAAATGTTAGAACTGCAGTGAGCTAGATATATCCCGGTTTTAAATCTCCATGGTAACAGACTGGGGCTACATTTCGTCGTCACTGAAGCTCTCCTCGGGGAAATCCCCTGTCTTGACTGAGGTCGGCTTCACAAAGGCTCCGTACATCCTCTGACACTCGAAATATCTCTCTCCAAACACACTGCGCAGTGACAGAGAAAAGAGAAATGGTTAACTGGAGCTGTGTAGAAAAACTAACCTCCCGTCGTTTTTCCCCACTGGTTCATCATACTTGACTCCAACCCAGTAGCCAGGCTTGAACTTTGTCAGTCCTGAAATAGAATATATAGCCAAGGAAAAGTATGTTGGCAACCCGATAGTTAGGTCTGACATTCCTCTCGCTCACACACCTACAAACATGACAGTTCCTCTCTTGGGCAGCGAGTCACCGACAGTCACCTCGCACCGTGCCCCGACAGCTACGGCCTCTGCCAGCTTCTTCTCTTTCTCTGCCACCTCCTCGGCTACCTTTGCCACAGCCAAACTGCGATCTGCAAACTGCCCCAGTTTCATCTTCTCCTTGAATGCCAGGGCTGAGCCTGGAGGCAAGAGTGAAACAGAGCACACCACTTCATTGATTTTCGCCCTATATATTATACTCACACATTTGTACTAACTCTGAACAAGGAACACCTCAGAGTAAATGGACACTTTCAATGTCCCAAAAACTGTCTTTTATCCAGAGATTTTATATACTGTAGTTTTGACACCGTGACACTGGATCTAACCATGACACTGGATCTAACCACTACTTGATACACACCATTACACAATTGGGAACGGTCAAACTCTTACACTGTATTAGAGGTAACAAATCCTCTCATCTAGGGTAAGGTTGAGTAGTGTTTTAGTGTGTGTTCCTCTCTCACCTGTTCTCTTGGCATAGTCATCTTTGCTCATCTCATATTTCTGGACCTTCGACAGGTCCTCAAACTCCCCCTTCTTCTTGGAGGGGTCTCTGTCCACCACATTGATCCTCCAACCATTCTCAGCTCCTGTTGAGCCCAGCGGGGCCGCGTCGTCCGTCAACTCACACACCAACTTGTCCTCGTCCCCATTGAAGAGTTGCAGCTGCATCAGAGACGCTGTCGCCCCCGTAATTAGCTCTAATTTCCCCTGAGAAGAGTGAAAGAGAGTACAGTATCAGGTGCGCTCTATATAGAATCACCACACCTTGAGTTCGCCGACGGTTGTAGACGCGGGGAAGCGTTTCTGGGCGCCGAAGCTCGTCAGAGAGCTGGAAATGACCAGGCTTAGATAGTCTGTTCGCTCACCGTCCCCACCGGCCATCTCTGCGACCGAAGTAAGTTTCGAGGGTGCAGCGAAGTTCACGAGCCACTCCTCCCGCAAAAAATGCCCGGGATTTTGGCGGGAGATTTTTGAGTGCACCAAGAGAAGATGAAGTCGAAGTTGTCTTGCGAGCTGGAGCTAACCTACGCTCTGGCCGTCTCCAGTGGTAGCGTACCCAGTCGGTCCAGCCGATCGCGGGCTGCTATCACATTGGGCAAGAAGCCAGGCTCGGCGGCGGGCTCCGGCAGGAGAGAGGAGCTTTACGTCATTGTCTCCACGGCAAAGAACGTGACGGGCTCCAAGTATAAGGTCCAGTTCTCTTTACGTCTGCCAATGAGTGTGGGGAACGTGTGTGTGATGTCCAGGTGAAGGGGAATGTTTGCAGGGTGTTCTCCAAGTTTGTGGAGGAGGGAAAGGCAACAATAGAGTTCAAAGAACCAGCACATCGACTGGCAATTTCTAAAGTCAGTTTTTCAATCCCTTTGAGAGAATGAGACGATAGATTTCTCTGCCTCTCTCCATCCCTAACTCTGAACCCTGTTTTCTTCCCTCTTGCCTTCTACTCCCTCCCTCTCTCTCTTCCCCAGGCTGACCCAGGGCAGCTACGTGAGCTGCTCAAGGTCCTCAAACTCTCCCCAGCCCAGCAGAGCTCCGTCTCTCTCACCGCCCTGCCTCCGACCAAGATGGCCGACATCGAGAAACCAAAGACACGACTGGTGGTCAAGTCGCGCGGGGAGTACCCCCTGAGGGGATTCCCCTCCTCGTTGGAGAGGTTTGAAGCTGTTGGTAAGAAAACGATTCGAACAAGTGAAGTGGCGGAGGGGTATTAGTCATGCAAAATTGGAACTCCTTTCTTATTCAGGTGTTAATGCAATAGATAGAAAAAAACAAGTAGAGAGGCGTCTTTATTAGCCCATTGGTGTCTGAATGTCAGTGAATGAGGGGTTTGATATAAATATAATGCACTTCAATTTCTGCAGCAATATCTCTGAACAGGGTGGACGGGAGGCTACTCCAATTAAAGCACCTCTCCCACCTGGACCTCTCTGGCAACCTCATCAAGACACTGCCCCGACCCCATGGCCGACGCCCCCCTCGCGGAACTTCGACTCTCCGGAAACAGACTGGAGGAGTTTCCGGACCTCCTCTGTCAGGGTCGACTTGGAGAGAGCCTGAAGGTGTTAGACCTGTCCAGAAACCAGTTGACGTCACTTCCACACAAGTTCCCTCAAATGAAAAACCTCGTCCACTTAAAGTTAGACTGCAATGAACTCAAAGTTTTGCCGAGAACCTTCGGGAAGATGGTGTCGCTGAAGTTTTTCTCTGCCAGTAGTAATAGACTGCTGGCTCTTCCGTCGTCAATTCTGAAGCTTTCGCTGGACTCGCTGGATTTGTTTGGTAACCCTTTCCACCCCAGCGGACTGGTGAGACGGTGTTCAGAGCTCAGTCTTCCTTCTCTCATGGAGTTGACCGGGAGGACAATCAAGAAACACAAGTGAGCAGTTTTCTTTACGTTTCAGTCGTCTTGCAAAATAACGGAAGCCCACAAGACTACGCTTATGCATGACAACTACCACTGCTGCTGTATGCACCAAACATTACGGTCAGTAGCTAATACAGTATAGAAAAGAGGCTTTAAGCTAAGTTGATGTTCGTGACTAATTGCAAATTGTCTGTTTGAATGGATTTTCCTGGCTAGAAGCTAGATGTTAAAGAGCTGCACCATTGATGTTCGCCTTCTCTCCCCACCTCTCTTCCCCTAACCCCAGGCTACCGTATGATCCCTACATCCTCCCCGTCACCCTCTGCCACTACCTCGACTCTGCCAAGAAGTGTCTCTGTGGCAGAGCCTGTTTCTCTGCCTACCTCCACTACATCGCGCCCCTGGACCTCCATAGAGTGGCGGCTACTGTCACAGCCACCGACAAACAGGGCAGCACCAGAGCTTCAGTCGAGGTGTTCCTTTGCTCAGCCAAATGCCTCAGACTATGGAGACTCAACCACTGACTCAATTCCACAGCCACTGCGATTATGATGCATCACCCAGAATTTTGTTGTGTGCCCACTAAAATTATACATGGATCCCACCTTAAATTTTTTGATGTTTGACTGTACAAAACAGAATAGTGATGGTTGTTGATCGTCCACAAAATGTGAGTATTTTGGCTCTAAGGAGGAGTCCATACATTTCCCTTGCTGTCTGGTTTCATGTGTCTCGCGTTCCATACCCAAGGCTGGTCTGGAATGGAGCCACAAACAGTATAATAGTCACCACAGAGTGCAAGTATTGCTGGACCTTCTCTGGTGTATGGCGTCAGTGGGAGGTCAAACGGGGTCACCAGTCTCATTCCCATACCAGGTACTGAACTGGACCCTGCACCAGCTAAACCAGAACATCACACAATAGCTACAGTGGACATTTGGTGGTCTCACGTCCATGTGGGTGCATCGTGGCGACGGAGAAGGAGGTGTGGCCAGCGGAGGTCTCCTGGTCGGAGGGAAGGAAGAGGACACCAATCTCGTAAGATCTGATCTTCAGCTGCGAGCCTTTCTTCTCCAGGGCTCCCCAGGCAGCCTTTGATAGGTTGCAGCTACAGTATACATCAGTGGGACAATTTGACAGCAGCATTTTAAACCACTTTGGGTCCAGATTAAATGGAATAAAATGTTCGTGTTTCAAACACAAGTGTTGTTGAGAAAACTTTATTTCTGGTCGCATGTCCCCAATTCGGCAGGACGGCTAGGCTAATGGTAAGAGATACAGGAGACCCAGCTGGCGTCGTCACCTGGTGATCAAGATCCAGGCGGCCTCTCTCTGGTCTGGAGAGACCCTCATGTAGGTCTTTACATGAGGGGCAGCTCTGGTTCTTCCCGTCTCCTCTGCCCTCCACTGACTATTATCAACGATACAAACAACACTCATGGTGGTGGATTCAGAGGGGAGTGTACTGGAGGAAGTCTCTCAGGTACGGTTGCTTGGCAGCGGTGTTGGCGGCATAAGGAATGGACCCTCCAGCTGCAACAAGAGAGATATAGTTATATTTCAAACCCTCGCTGAAATATCGAGCTAACCCATGTATCCTTCTAGACTCGTACGGACGTTTTCAACTGACGGAAAAATCTGAAATTTCACCCAGTATATAACGCACTGTCATGAATGCCACTAGAGACGTGATACCAGTTTTAGAGGTGGCATTTTATGTTGGGTTGTGAGAGTCCTGGGTTTCTTCGAGGAGGACGCAGAGGAGGAGGAGGAGGAAGAGAGGCTGGTGAGCCACTCAGACGTCAGCCACTGAGAGGGGGCGGGGCCTAGGGAGCCGACACTGGAGAACTGACCAATCACAGGCCAGTCGCTCGGAGTGGCTCCACAGGGCAAACTGCTGCAAGTTGACAGCACCTACATGAAACGGCACCCTCACACACACACACACACTTTGAATCAGGAAAACGATATTGATGCAGTGTGTGAGTTTACTTTGAGTAGAAAAAAGGTGGTATGTAGGTGAAAGTAAAGTGAAAATGAAATACACACTTTTCTCAGTTTGAGGTGGCCCCACTTGTTCATCTCCCCTCCTGTGTGCGCCCCAGGAACTGACGCTATGAGGCGAACCCTGCAATCAACCATCAGACAATCTCTAACTCCACACCACTCGGCAGCCACTCCCACCGAGCAGCTGAGAGGTCGTGATCACTGATCCTCTGTTTCCACTCCTCCAGCCCTCGACCACCGTATGCCTTGAGGTACTCCTGAAAAACAGTTTTGAAAAATAATCGCTCACAAGCTCTGCTTAGATTTGGAAGGTGGACATTTTTATAGGCTTTGCTACGATTCTAGAGGCACATACATGTATGTATGCACGGATGCATATACATATACATTGACACTCTCACCAGAAGATCCTGCTTGAAACCAGTCTCCTTTCCTCCATTCACCACTGTCTCTGACTTGCTTGGTGTCACAGAGCTCTTGGCAGGGAAGAGAGGGCTCACCCAGACCCTGTGAAATTACGTCGGTATGGTAGGGTAAGTTTGATTCTGTTCACCAACTATGGACTACACTGTGTCCATGTGTCTAATGTGGATTGCAGTGCGTCTATATACTGTGCTGGCAATGTGAGTGACTGCTGTATTGCATGCACACTGCAAGCAGAGACTTTCAATTGGCGGGGGCTTACCCCTGGGTCTTCCGGTCCCAGTCCTTTCAATTGGCGGGGGCTTACCCCTGGGTCTTTTGGTCCCAGTCCTTTCAATTGGCGGGGGCTTACCCCTGGGTCTTTTGGTCCCAGTCCTTGGGAATGAGGTTAGCTGTGTGGATCACCACCCGCAGACCTTCTCTGTAAGCCAGCAACATCATCTTACTGACAACGACAGAGAGAGAGATGAGAGAGAGGAGAGAGAGGTGAGAGAGGAGAGAGGGGAGAGAGAGGTGAGAGAGGTGAGAGAAGTTATGTTTGTCCATACCTGTGATGGGTTCCAAACATTATTTCAAGTCTTGCCTGTGGGAAAATGTGCAGTAAGTGTACATAGAAATCTTACAGACTCATAAACTCACTCACTTTAAAAAGAGTTACATTTGGGTATGGTGCAGCCGCCTTTCGAATATTGGCATCTTTCTGATCACCGTGGACGACAAGAAGAGGACATTTTCTGTAAAAAGGATATGATTAAGTCGTAAAAAAGAGCTCCCCGGCCGGGAATCGAACCCGGGTCTTCCGCGTGACAGGCGGAGATACTTACCACTATACTACCGAGGATGTCACACTAGAACCCGGGGAGACAATAGGCAGTCATTAGCACACTCTTCCGCACGCACACACACACATACACTCAGCTCACAAGCAAAGTCACAGTCCTTGGTGCATTCAAAACTAATGTACACAACTGTGGTGCGTTATCTGCCATTAGCGAAAATTGCACTGGATAGCTGTCACCTCTTCTCAGGAGGGTACTGCTGGAGAAGCCAGGGGAGGTCAATGAGGTAGTTGAACTGTGCCGAGCAGACGAGGTCTCCCATTAGAGGAGAGAGAAGGTCTGGAGAGGAAGGGAGGGAGGGAATGTGTATAAAAGACAGGAGGTGAGGAGTTCAAAGTTCGCCATGCAGCCATGAAGTTTTTTGGAACAGAATTTTTGGAAACTGCACTTATTTTTGGTAAGCAAAATTTGGCGCTGAAGAGTGTGTGGAGATAAGGACGTGTGTTTTATTTACCTCTGATGGCGATGGCTATGTCCTGGGAGTTATGTCGAGAGTCCACTCCCCTCGCTGTGGTCAGGTAGAAGAGAGAGTGGGGGGAGAGTGTAAATGGGGAGTCTGGTGAGGAGTGTGAGGTCTGGGGATCCGGGGAGAGGGTGACAGGGTCGCTCCCTCGAATCACCGAGTTTCCGCCTCTTCTCTGATGGTGGTCCCAGCATCATCTGTAGAAACCAAAGGTCTTCAATATGCCAGGTATACAGTGTCAGAGCCTAACGGACGTATAGCCATAGAAGACAATGTTGAAGAGCTAAGGTATATAGCTACCAAGCCAGGGATGGGCAAACTCTTGGAAGTGCTGTGGATTATTTCGGTAGCATTTCTCGCCGTATATACAGACTGGTAAACTGCCTTCTTCTCCCTGTTCCTCGCTCCATGACGAAGAGGGAGCTGCCATTCGTTTCCAGCTCGGCCTGGATTCGGACCATCCGTGAATGGGCCAACCAGATCAGAAAGAGCATGCGCGCGCCTCTCAGTCTCAGCTAGCCCCACCCACCTTTCGGTGCGCATTTATTAGAGTCATGAACAGCGAAGGAACAGAAACGGCAGAGGCGAAGGAGGGGAAGAATACGGAACAGGTTTGAAGCTCTTGAGGATGAGGAAGTGGCCGTAAGAAAGAGGCTGCAGAGCCTGACGGAAATGCGGGCGTTCCACGAGAAACAGATGTCGCTGATCGAGCGTCTCCCCGCGGGCGAGGTGGCCTGGTTTCTGGGCAGCCAGCGCATGAGAGCAGCGACTCTGATCCAGTCCTGGTGGAGGAGGAGAAGAGGGAGGCCAAGGAGAGAGCAGGGAGATGCAGCGGCGAGCGAAATCTCTCGAGCTGCACGCCAAAGAAACAGAGCAACTGTCAGACGGTTTGTGGAAGGTCCAGAGAGGGAGCAGCTGCAGGCAGAGATAGACAGATATCGACGAAAGAACCCGCCTCCTCGACTCAGCGACGATCAGATGAGACAGACGCACAGCGAAGTCCAGCATCTATTGAGCGAATTCTACTCTCGGCAACAGCAGACAATTGATTCCAGCGGTAAAACGACTGAAGACAACTCCCTATTTCAGAGACTGGAGGAAGACTGCAGGCTACTGATGGAGGCACCAAAACTGGGAGAGTTGGAGACGGAAAAAGAGGTTCATCCAAGTTTCTTTGCTCCTGGTTCACAGACTGTAGCCACAATGGCTCAGAAGATGCACCTGAAAGAGATGAAGGCAGCTGGCCTGCAGTGCCATGAACAACATACATAGAAATACTTGACAAAAACTCTTTGGACTAATGGTTTATCACTGATATATATAATTATATGGAGAAAAGAGGGGTAATGTTAATGATCATGAAGTGGAGAGTGCAAATTTGTGTGTGAATTTCAAGTTCTCAGGCCAGAGTCCAGGAGCAGTGCCTCTAGTTTGTCGGTGCACTGGGTGGTGACGTAGGGCTGGTGGAGCCAGCACATGAGGTACACTGTGAGGATGTCCTTGTCGCCCTGCCTCGTTATGTCTCCCACGACACTCTCCTTGGCACACGTGTCCTGACTGTAGGCTTGGAATAAATCGGTGAAATATTCACCTGCAGAAAAAATCGAGTTTCAGACTTTTGCCCTCATAAATAGGACTGGTGTCAGAACATGTGTAATTGTAAAAGTTTCATGAACGCAGCAGTATTTGTGACATTTTTCCAAATTTCATGAACTAGGTGAGACCTACTGTACACTGAGGCAGGGAGAGTGTTGAAGAGTGGGAGACTGGGATCTTGTCCCTGGCACAGCAGCAGCTCCACTGCACCGGACACACTCCCAGTGAGTCTCCCCATCTCCTGAACCACCACCAACTGCAGAGAGAACCACTGGAGAGATGGATGGACGAGACAAATATCCCTCACCATTTTATCTTTCACGTCCACAAGCTGAGAGTAGAGACGTTCCCTCTCAACCATCAGCTTCCCTTCAAGAACAGACGGTAGTGTACTATCACCTTGCAGGACACCAAAGCTGGACTCTGACTCCATATACCTATTGTTGGGGTAATTTCATGAAGAATCAAGGGAAATCTAGAATTAAAATTCTCACTTATTTTGCATGACTGTCTGCACCAGCTTGCTGGCAACGTCCAATCCTCGGCTGCTGAGCTGCTGCCATTTCTGTACACAGCTGTGGAGGCGAACACAGCACTCCTTTACTCTGTGGACCACCAAACTATCTGCAGCCATGTTCGGGAGCTAAACGCATGCGCAAAACTGCCAGCGCATGCGCACACACACGTTGAACCCAAAACCACGCCCATTGAGATCGCGAGCGCGAGGGAAGATGCTGAAGTTCGTGTTGCTGGTCAACAAACAGGGCCAGACGAGGCTCAGTCAGTACTACGAATACGTACCAGTGGAAGAGAGGGTGACGACCGAGGCCGATATCGTCAGGAAATGCCTCTCGAGGAACGAGGAGTCGGTACAAGACGACCTTACTTCTTGTTGGCTGGGTGTTGTCTATGTGTCTTCTGCAGTGCTCGTTCATGGAGTACAAGAACTTTAAGGTTGTCTTCCGTCGCTACGCCTCTCTCTACTTCATAGTTGGTGTGGATAACTCAGAGGTGAGTATAGTCACCAGCAGAAACATGGTCGTTGAACTTCTCCCTGTCTCCCCAGAATGAACTAAGTATACTGGAGTTCATCCACAACATCGTCGAGACGTTTGACAGATATTTTGAGAGTGTGGTGAGTCCCTTCCTCAACTTGCAGCTTCTACATATTTCTCTACCTCTTTCTCTCTCCCTTGCAGTGTGAATTGGATGTATCCCCATTGCATACTGTTGTTTATGCATCCAAAATTTCAATAGGTTTTTAGAGCATCAGTAGAAGTGTCCTATGTGCTGTAAGTTCCTTGACTAGGTTGGTCGATGACAGATAATGTTCAATATTGACCGAGCTCACATGATGCTGGACGAAATGATCGTCAACGGCAACATTGTGGAGACAAACAAGAGCAGAGTGCTCGCCCCCATCGCTGTACTCGACAAGTCCAACAGATGACGTCACTCTCTCTACTATATATAGCTCAGACCTCCTTTCTCTCCCTCTGAACACTCTGACTGGTTAATCATTCCACTTTTTCCTACTAAAAATGCATCAAATCGTTTTGACTGATGCTGTTTGCTCATATTATTATGTCCCATTGGCTGCTGGGAGGAAGTTTGAAACAAACGTATAATTATAATGACAAAAGCGTTCGTTTTCTTCCAGCTTCATTCTCTCACTGTTGTGGGTGCTATTGACTGCTATAATCATTCATTATGGAGATGAAAACTTGTGCATGTAACATGATGAGTCAGTGATAATGGTTGAAAAAGGTGACATCATCATAATTGTGCTGCTAGCTGTTGTGACTGGAGGACGAGGAGGAGGCCCTACGTCCCTCTCTGGCCGTCGACGAGGAACTCTTCTCTCTAACCAGAGACGAGTTACTCCTCTCTCTACTGAACTCCAACACTCTGGAGTTCCTTTGGCTCGTTGCCCCGCCCCCTGATGACGTCATGCTGATTCCACTGAGTCTCCGCCCCCTCTGTCGACTGAAGTACTCCCCAGACTTGAGGACTGCGATGAGATCGTCTAGTTCCGCTTTGTCATCGAACTCTGCACTGTCGCGGGCGGCCGCCGGGTCCGAGGTTTCAGTGATCTGAGCTTCTTGCCTCTTTTTCCTCCGCTGGAGGGTCAGCTGCTTGTGTCTCTCCTGAGGAGAGAGAGGGAGAGTTTGGGAGAGAGAAGTTTAAATTTGTAGTGAACCCTCACCATATCCTCTCTCCTCTTCTCCTCCTCTTCCTTCTTCTTCTGCACAGCTATCAACTCCACGTGGGCCTCCTGAACACCAAGTCACATGACACCACATGATAGTCATGTGATCACAACCACTCACATTGACGGAATGGAGGAAGAGTGTGAATATGTTGAAAAACTCCTCAGTCGTTGTGTCTGAAGGATCCTCCCCAAAGAACAGGAGTGTGTTATGAAACTGTAAGGAAATCATGTGACTGACCACGTGATTATCATGTGATACCTCACCTCAGTCCTGGTCTCCACAATGTGGGTCTGAATCCCGGCGAACACGGAGCGCACGTCAGCGGCAAACTCGGCGATGACGGGGATGAAGAGGTCGGAGTTGTCGACGGCGCCGCTGCGTCTCTGGAACTCCAGTTCGTGTTCCAAGTCCTTCAGATCCACCTGCATGTCTGAGAACTCCTTCTCAACCTCCTTGAAACTGGGGGTGGGGCGAAACAGGGAGAGGGAGAGGGAGAGGGAGGATGGCTATAGGTTCACGATGCTAGCTGTAATGAGCTGTTGGTGGTTTAGAGGCTAGCAGTGCAATCCCATGCACATTGCATGCAGTCCTATCACAGACGTGTGTCAGACAGCATGGTGTGCAAACTGTCGATAATTCAACTCACTCGACTTTGTTGGCCTTTCTTATGTGAGGAAGATCCGTCTCCAGAGTCAATACATCTGGAAACTAAACAACAATAAACAAAAACAATAACAAACAAAGGACAACTAAACAACAATGATAAACATGTGACCCAGCAGTCAGGGTGACAGCTGACCTTCGTCTTGAGGGTCTGTACAAGGTAGTGCAAGAGGTTGATGTCTGGCTCAGAACTGGATTTGGTGTCGGCCATCTTGTTCAGACTGCTCAGCCGGAATCCCGATGCGTTGCCACGGTTACCTCTGTTCATGAAATTCCCAAATGCCAACACCACCTCCAGAACCTGGCACGGCAAGAAAACCAACACACCATTCGATTCCCCAAACTGCCTAAGGCCAGGTTTACAATATGATTATTTGTCTAAGATGTCACATGTAAAAGCTATCAAAACCATATTTGCACAGCATCAACCTGAGCATTGGGAAACGTAGCCCATTAGTAACAGCACTATAATGTGCAACACATTCTCAGTGAAGAGAATGAAGCTGCATGCCACATTGCAAGGGCGAGAATGTCTATTGTTCTTATTCTGAACGTCCAGACCTTTCTTAACTTCTTGCTGCTCTTCAGCTCCTTGCACGAGTAGTGGACTGCCTCAATCTTGGGCCGGATATCGTCCAGACGATCGCTGAGTGTCTTCTTAAAGAACAGAGATTTGAGTCTCTGGGAATAACGGGGGATCCTGCAGACACAGAGATCAGGGACTCTCTCTTACTCTCTCTCTCTCTCTCTCTCTACTGGAACTTTGGCGGCAAGTATACAGTATTCTAGTTTTCATGATTTGAAATGCCATATTTATTTTCCCAATTGTGCTGTTTTACCGAGCAAAATTTATTTAACGTGGGCACCAAAAATCTTCTTTCCATGCAGATGAATGTAGTAGAACACACCTGCTCATTTCCAGGAGAAAGCGGTCGGGTCTGGCAAATGACTCCATCTCATGGGCGTGGCTGTTGAGGAGGTCTCTCTCGGCAACGGTGGGGACGTACTTTAGCAGCTGCTCCACGCTATCCTTCTCCAGCTGCTCGTCCTTGTCCATCGTCATCACCACCCTCTGGATCTGCAGTGCCAACGGGGTTAATCCACAGTGAAGTCAGAGGGTTAAACCACACAGTGGGGCATTCAACAGTGAATTTGGGGTTAAAACACAGTGACAATGGGGTTAATCCACAGCAGCAGACCCACCTCTTTGTTGGTCATCTTGAGAGTTGAGAGGACAATGGAGCAGTTCTGGGCCCTCTTGCTCTCGATGACAGAGAGCTCCCTGGGCCGGTCCAGTAAACTCCTCCTGCGCAGCGTGCCACCCAGACCGCCGCCCAACTCCGCCTCCTTGCTCCGCTGGTAGGCCGAGAACGTCTGTTCGAACTGCTTGAGGTCCATCACGGTGTGGACCCTGCTGTCGTCCACCTTGCTCCATATCGTCCTCTCTATCTGGACCTGGTTAATGGAGAAGGAGAAGAAGCGGAATGTGGTGTTAAGCATTGTTGGTTATTAAAATTGGTGAGAAAGTATATATATCCGCGAATATTCTCGTTACAGAGCAGGTTATTGTGTGCGTATAGAGGCTCACTGCAGGTATCTTGGACCAGTTGAAGGACTTGAGTGCCTGCGAAGGCTGCGGAGCATTCCTCCTTCTGTCGGCCACCTGGTCTACGGCTGGAGGAGGGGCAGGGACGGCGTGGCCCGATGGAGCTGTGTAGCAAGGATTGGACGGAGAAACAGGTCACACGCAGTCTTCACAATGCTCTCCAATAGCAGTGAGATAGAGTCAAGTTACAAGGCTGCGGTGAGCATTCAAATTGCTAAATCCACTAGTGGGCGGACATTAATTTGGGCCGAGTAATTGTAAACCGCACGAGTAATATTCACCTTCTGTTTTTACCACTGCCACTTGACAGTTCAGTTATGCACCACACTCTATAGCGTGGAACACTGCCATTACATGCAAAAAGCCACTCTATCTCTCCGTACTAATGAATAGCACACATCCAGACCTGACTATAGTAATGCTGCCTGGTGAGTATGTATACAATGTGTGCGACGTACTTGAAGTGGTGTACAGTTGATGAGTGGGTATAGGAGGCGGAGGAGGGAGAGGTGGCTGGGGTTGAGCAGGGGGAGGAGGTGGAGGAGGAGGAGGAGGGCCTGGGACGACAGTCGGGAGTGAAGGCAGGTCCTCCGTACTGATGTGGCTCTCTCTCAGCAGTGCCTCCAGCTGCTCCGCTCTGTGTTGGTACCCATCAGCCTGGAGACAGGAGGGAGAAATACAGGCAGTGTGATGAGCAGGGCTGAAATTGTGGGAACTAGGGATGGATTTTGAGGAATTGTCACACGTAAAATGACTTCAGAAGCAGCCAGTGGTGCCTGCCACAGACACTCCAATGCAGACACAAAGGGGGGTTTAGCGGGCCACATTGATCACGCAAACATGAACTAAAACACAAGCACAGATTTTTGGGTGGCAAACAAACTGAATCATTGGAAAATGGTGACGTTATAGGTCTACTTTTGCCTCCATGAGTTTGAGTCTCTCCTGCATGTCCTGTTCCCTGGCCCAGGCCTCAGTGGCCTCCGAGGTCTTCCTGTTGAGCCTCTGCCTCAGTCGACCCATCGCCATCTTACACTGGTCTCTGGAGGTGGAGCAGGGAGGGAGGGAGGGAGGGAGGGAGAGGGATGAGGGCTGATCAAATAGAGTGCTACATGACAGTGTTCTTTGCTCTACTGCAAAAGGGGGTTCCATGGTGTCTAGTTACCGGTCCATTCGGAGCGAGTCACACTCCCATTCTTTCTTGCTCAGTTGGAACCGTATTTTCTCCTCCTCCTTCTTGACCTCCTCTGCCTCCCACTGAATCGCCTTTATCTCGTCCTCTCGCAGCAACCTGAACACACAGTGTGTACACATGACATCCATCTCACACAGTGGGGTCTTGTTACAGAGTTTTAATGGCTGACTGAATTCAATAATTGTTGTGAGACATGCACTCTCTTAATTTGGCATTCCGTAGCTGCAACAAGTGTGTATCTTCACAAAGAGAACCTCTAAACAGTCTGAGTGGACTATTGCAAAGTTTTGCAGCAATACCTGTGAATCAGCTAAGACAAACAACTTCTTCCATGAAAAATTCTGAAGACGGCAAAGAAACGAGGTGTTACTGGACCTACTTTTGAATGAGGTTATCAACGTTGATGGGTAGAGGGGCGGAGTCAGGGTCCACCCCTTTTCTCTGCTGGAGGACCACTTGTTGTACCAGTCGGTCGATAAGCTGCCAGTACTTGCTGTACAGTGGGTCATCAACTGGGGAGATAGGGGAAGGGGGAGTGAATTAATACTGCATTATCGGCGAATGAATGAGCACCAGTATGAACTTCAGCAGATTAAGAAAAATTCTGCAATTGAAAGAAAATGTGGCATTAAATAAGGGCCAAATTTTCTAAAAATGAAATTCTTTCACTGGGCCCTAGTGCCACTTTTAGTAACATTTCTAAGTATTTAGTGCTGATGTCCTGTCACACATTCCCTTTAAGACAACTAAGAAGTGTGGAGTCTCTCACTAGGGAGCAGTATGCAGTGATAGATGACAGAGAGTAGGTTGGCGTGTGCGACGGTGTGGACCGTCTTGCGGTGCAGCAACTCAATCATTGACTTGAGACTGTTTGAGTCGACATGTACCTGCAGCGTAAGAAGAGAGAATGGGGGAGAGAGAGAGAGTATATATGTAGGCGCGATAGGTGCGATAGGTGTATTATATATCCTCACTGTGTCCAGCCTTGCAGCCAGCTCCCTCTCATCCTCTACTCTCACCAGTTCAAATATCTCCAGATGCCTGCATGATACATACACACATCGAGATACATACAATGCTTTATGAAAGCATAATGACTGTGCGGGCAATTTAGGGGGAATGTTTGCAAATTTCGCACTTTGAAAGCAATCTGTGGAAGTTTTCAGCCAAATGGTTCAGTTTACTACTCGTTGGCATCACATGGTATTTTGAACACGGTATAAACCTGTTGAGGTGGGTGATGTTGAGTGCTCTGAGGTGGTCGGTGATGGGCAGGATACCCAGCAGCAGGAGCTCGTGACGGAGGTGCATGCGGAACTCCAGACTCTCCTGTAAACAACACACAAAGACAGACAGCGGCAAGCAAGTGAGCGCAGGCAGTGGGGAAATATATAGCCGTTCGTTACACCGGCCGTTGTCATATTGCCAAGCGGCCCGGCTAGGATTGTTGCACAAGCACTCCGAGATGCCGCGTGATGATAGCTAGGTGCAGCTGCACTGCTGACGCAGAGTGCGTATTGGATCAAGTTGCCCTTACCTGGCCGGCCTTGTAGTTGATGACGGCGTTGAAGAAGGAGAGGACTGCGATCTGGAGGTTGGCCGAGTCCTGCGGCTCGTCCAGACTGCGCCCCAGATCCACGATCAGCGTCTGCATGCGGCGGAAAGAAGAGAACGCGCACGCTAAGTGAACAGCTGCTTAGCAGCCACAGCGCGCATGCGCATAACAAGAGCACGTGTGCGCGTACTTCACTATTACGTAATACACCGTTAATCACAAAAAAATGCACCTGAAAACGGATGCGCTCGACTGCAAATGTCTGAAAGTGGTCCATTGCCGTCAGCACCTTCTTGTGTCCTCCAGGCACCAGACACAGAGCTCCAACAATCTCCAGAACTAACATTTCAATGGGATAACAAATAGGTGGAAAATCTTCAGTCTAACCGAGGATTTTCGTCCTGGTGACAGAAGTCTTGAGGCTCTGTGCAATGATGGTAATGGCATTGGGATGGACAAGAACATGAGCTCTGCCGTCCTACAGTTAGAGAAAGGAAAGAAACACAAAGAGGGTGAGAAGGAGGATCAGTAGAAGTTGATGGTTTTGGCTGTGACTTACAGGGCTGTTCATGAGTGCCTTTACACAGCCTATCACAGCATAGTGCAGCATACTGTTCCTGCATGGAAATGTACTCAACATTGGACAATGTTCACTATAAATTTAGACAACTTTGAAAGTATTTACTCAATAATTTTGAATTATCGTCTGATGCTGGAGTGCTAAGGCTCACCGGACGGCATTTTTCATTTGCACTAGAAACATGAGCAGATTCTCCAGTCCATTCTGAGAGATGAACCGAAGCACAAAGTTGACTGGTTGGGTCCGTAGTGCAGTCTTCAGTTCGTTGGCCACTCTCAAATTCTCCGCAGCGTCTGCTGCCTCACATGACTTCACCTCCCGCATCGTCTGAACAGTAATAATAATTATTATAAGATCCTAAACTGGAATATGTACTATATACACCTCTAGGAAGTTATATTACACTGCTAACCTCTGTAAGAGTGGAGATCTTGTCGATATAGAACTCCGGCTGTGGGTCAGCTCCCTTTGTTGATTGCTGCTCCTGTTAGTTAGTCAAATGTTGATAGCTAACTAGACCCTTATGGAATGTGTTATGTGGCGCAGTGGCGCAGGTACATACATGACGCGCCTAATTTGATCATCCTGTGTACTTAGTGTTGAAGGATCGTAGATCCTACTACGATATGATACTGAAAACTGTTGCTGCGATCAGGTGGAAGTACGAAAGAAACTTGGGTCAATGGATATCCCAATACTCTGAGAATCAGTGACAACACAGCTGTTTGTCAGCTCCAACAACAGATATTTCAGATGCTGGAGATTCCTCTGGTCAGCGACAGAACTACTCATGCCACACACACTAGCTATTACTCTCGGACTCACGCAAATTACTTCAACTCCCATAGTTACGATGTTTTTCCACTCACCTTCTGTTTAGAGAGATAGAGCTCCCATCGTTTCTCTAGTGGCAGTTTGAACATTAGCTCTCTACTCAGCCCCAGCTCATCCTGAGCATGACAGATCGTGTAGTCAGACTTGAGATGTAGAAACACGAGTGTAGCTAATTTACTAAAGTATGTTCGGTGCGCACTACGGCCTTACCACCATCTCAGAGAACATGGCGTTGACCGTCTGCTCGTTGGGCATGGGGACAGCGGCGGCCATCTCCTGCGGAACCATGCCGTCCTCGAACTGAAACGACGGGTGGGAGCCGCGGAATCGCCCGCTCCTCTTCAGAATCCCGGGTGGAGGGGTCGGGCTGGCTGCCTGAGGCGGCGCGCCGCTCTCGTTGAGGCGACCAGTGCTCCCAGATCGCCGTTTCTTCGACTTTCTCCGCCCTCCATCCTCCGCTACCCAGTAAACCCCCGACTTTGAGCGACCCACCTTTATCGACTGTCCCCCGCCAAACCACGGCATTCTGCCACACTATAAATCTTTACAAATAGTCTACAGCACGACGAATTACTACTACCTATCACTGATAAACTAGTAGCGAGCTAGAAGTTGTTGAACGACCAGTGAATAATTCTTTTGAAACGCGCGCGTGGGAGATGCCGCACAGCGCACTGCCCCCTCGCTTTTACGCTCGCCGTATAATAACATCATTACTGCACAACACACAAGAAAGGCAACCTGTTGCACGAGAATGGATTATGAAATAGGACATTACCAACTAATCACACTACAAATAAAATAAAATGCATGCATACACGCAGTGATAGGTTATGTAACACTGTGCGCAATTAGGTTCATATACAAGATGACGAGAAAACAAAACTAGACCTCCTTGATGCCTTGCTCACGAGTCAACACATAATAATCATCGGCCATTCTTACGAGGACCAGCACCTTGTCGATGTGGCTTCGCTTCGCCGTCTCTTTATGAAAGGGGCGCCACTCGTGCACCACTTCTCCTTCCATTCCCTTCTGTGGTCGCCATGATCTCCAGTGACTCTTCTCTGCCTTGGCTGCAAGCTTCGGATCAGGCCAGGTGAGCCAGTCGGGGTTAATGTTCTCAAATATCTCCCCCTCGTCTGTAATCACCACTTGTTTCGACACCCACATCGGCCGCCACAGCTGCTCGTCTGAGTCAGAGTCGGAATCCGGGAACGGGTCCTGGTACGGTTCGGCCCCGCCCCTGGCCCCTCCCTCTGCCCCGCCTCTCCCGTACTGCAGTCCCGTGAGGCTGTCAACACTCACCGATCGATCCTCCGCACCCATCCTCCCTTCCCTCCCTCCCTCCTCCCCTCCATCTGTGGGGTTAGCAGTCCCCTGCGTCGGCTTGCCAGCTAGTGATCCCTGGTAGTGTTTCGCGCAAGTGTCGCACAGCTTGCGGACCACTCTGGCACCCTGGGCGAGCCACAGTGGGTCGGTCGCCCGACCAAACAGGGTCTTGTTGTAAGTCTCGTGTCGGTCGAGGTAGGAGGTGTGTAGAGGGGAGACGTATATTGGGTAACCAATGGGGAGGTCCATGGAGGAATTGATCATGTTCCTCAGTGTCGGCTTGTGGTTCTGGATGGAGCCACGCTCACTGTCACTGTTGCGGAGGAAGATTAGCTCCTGACGCTGGCTTGTCCAGAGGGCCCTCACACACTCTCGGTTCACCTACAGACACATGTAGACATTTCATACGCAGCTGCCTCATGTAGACAGTCATGGAGTACACACACACATTTCATAGCTACATATAATACGTACCTCATTCACATGATACATATGAACATGTATAAGTATGTATGCACCATTGAACTAATACACTATTATGTATGTATGTATGTATATACCTTGATGACACGGAACTTGATGAATTTGGAAGTGAGGCGAATCAGTTTGTAAGGATAGATGTACGACTCTTCCGTTCGCTGGTACCTGCAGAATACAGAATACACCACACCGCAAGAGAAAACAGTAACACCTCTGAACAAGGGACACGAAAGTGTAATTTATTCGAAGTAACACATACACTAGTGCATTAGGCAAAACCAAGCGCCTTTATAGAGAGGTACCTATTTGGTGATTGGTGGTCAGTGTTCTTACCGGAGAGCAAGAAGGGATGGTTTGTTGGTGACGACAGCGTTCCTCCAAGTTCGATCGTTCTCATGAGTGACTACGTGGTTGTTCATCACGTCCTGAATGGCCTCGTAGACTCCGTGTGCCGTCTCGTACTCCTCCGAGAAGGCAAAGTTGTCCTGCGAGGAGAGAGAGAGAGAGAGAGAGAGACGAATGGAAACATTACCACAGAGAGAAGGTGGTTCGTATGTATAGGAAACACCACACACACCGCACTGCCCCCATCTCGATCTAGCGTCATTACTCCACAACATGCAAGCTTTGCTGGATTACGTATTATTACGTCATTACTGAGCAATGACAGCACAAGGTCATCCTACAAACAGGAGCCGGGTAGAGGGGGACCGGAGAAGCTACAACAGCTACATAGATCATTAGGAACCTGGTGGACTTTGAGTGCAATCCTGGCAGCTGGAATAATGATGTCCTGAATGCTGTCCACGTCCTGGAACACCCACTCGTCTCCCGGGTGATTAGGACGAGCGTCGCCGAGGAACATGCGGTACAACCCGTTCATGAAATTATCTCTGGGAAACAGAGAGAAGAATGAGGAAGAAAATGGTGTGTGTGTTGTGGGCCACTCAGAGTGACAAAAAGAATCCACGAAATTTTCTCTACGAAAGCCACTTAATCGCAAAACTTTTCTTTCTTGATTTTTCCTGCTACACAATGCAACAAGTAGTGTGTATGTCTACTTAGTGCATCCTAACAGTAGAGAAACTGGCGTAGTGAATGTAGAGGGGGTGTGGAGAGGGGAGGGGAAACATACCCTCTGCGGCTGGAGCCACTCTGAGCGTGCTGGAAGAACATGCGGCGACCGAGGAGGGTGAATGCAAAGCAGAGGGTCACCAGAAATGAGTCGGCCTGGTCCAAGTCCATCTGTAGTAGCACAGTGTGGAGGAGAGAGAGAGAGAGAGAGAGAGAGAGAGAGAGGAGAGAGAGAGAAACAAAGCAGAGAAAGCACACTAGACACTTTTCCTGATTTTCCATTCACATACTGCAACCTATTATGGTAATCAGCCAACGCATGAGGTTATGTGTCACTGTTAAAGCAGGCCAGAGGTTTGTAAAGACACAAGGAGAGAGGGGTGAAGTGTCTCACGTGGAGGCCCTGCTGAGTGACACACTCCCTGATGAAGGTGAGGTAGTAGACGATGAATCGTTCGCGGGAGACTCCGCCCAGGGAGTGGCTGTAGTCGCAGTTCCGCGTCTCGTCGAACAGGGCGTCCTGGTCGACGTAGGAGGTGTTGTGGAGACGAGACAGGGCGTCTCGTATCCCCTGGTTGGCGAGGAGGGAGGCGAGCCGCGGGGAGCGGACCAACAAGAAGATGATAGACTGGATGGGAGAGGTACGGAGGAGAGAGGTTATGAAGGTAGAGGAGAGAGAGAGAGAAAGATGCAAAGACGGAGAAAAGACAGAGGTAAAGAGAAATGTAGAGGAATATAACATGGATGAAACAGAGCGAAGAAACGAGGAGAAACAAGAGCTGCACCAATACACGGAAACCTCCAAAATCGACGAGACCATGAAAATCGGGTTTCGACGTTACTTGAAATGCACCCTAAAAGATACCTAAATACGTAATCTCAAAGATACCTGTAGCTATAATACCTTGCAGTAATAGGTGATGTAGCCCCTCTTATAGTCAAAGGTATTGAAGACGAGGTGTGCCTGGTTCTCGGCGATGCTGTAGCCGTGGAGCGTGTAGCAGGAGGAGACCACCTCCCAGGCCAGCCAGCGGGACGACATGGCCTTGTTGCAGGAGAGGAAGAAGGGGAGGTGTCCCGGCTCGCAGCAACAGCAGCCGACGTCGTCCGTGATGGACTCCGTGATGGCTTCCACCTCTCTCTGATGGCAGTAGGTGCCTGGGTGGGGGGTGGGGAGGAATTCAATGAGTTGTCATCCATAAGGAACTATAATCAGTTGTAGTGGACTCCCAGTAATTGCACGAGGTGATAGAAAAGTAGAAGCAAGTCTACCAAATTTCATATTGTCCAACATTGTCTCATCACATGGGACACTCACTCCATCCGCATGAACAAAATCATGGAACAGTTGTCAAAGTGTACACCGGCCTATGCTTGCCTACACTCGCCTACATAACGTGACTTTACTTCCTAGCAGTAAGAAGTGTCGAGACTGACCTCTGAACTCTAGTCCCCTCAGCTGAAAGGTGACAAATCCGTTGCCGATCTCAATGATGTGGACGAGAGCGTTGAGTCTGTCCGACGTGAGGATGAAGAAGTCGCCCGACGTCACCCTCCCCCAGCGCCCCAGCAACAGGTCCCCACACAGGCTCTTCTGCAGGACCCAAGTCAGGTGTTCGTAGAAGAGACTGTCCAGCTGGTCCGGGTTGGGGTTCCGGAGACTCCCCTCCAGCTGGGAGTCGAGTCTCGTGTTGCTCGAGTCCGACCTCCTCGTGCTGCCAGTGAGAGAGGAAGACAGAGAAAACGTGGTCATTTTGGCTATTTTGTGGTTTTGTTACTTTGAATCGGCCAAAATGGTTGAAATCGCTCATTCACTATTCCTCACAAGCGTGGTATATGCACGTGTCAATAACGAGGTATGTAGCATGGCAACGGCAAAACAAACAAGTCAACTACACCTATTTGTATATCACAATGTTCAAAATCATGGGGCACCATGGAAACGTGAAAGCTCCACCATTCTTGAAATGTGCTCAATAATATTAATAAAAAAGACTGACTTGTAGTCCTTCTCCCAGTATTTCACTGGCCGAGCGTATGAGAGGGTGAAGAAGGTGCTGGCCACCACAGGGTTAATGGGACAACCCACGATGGACGCTATCAGGGTCTGGAAGAATATGTTGGGTGCATCTGAATCGACGGAGTCAAGGAAGAAGTGAAGAGTAGAGTTATGTCAATAAATGACATCATAACTTTAAACTACACAAATCAATGGGCGGAGCCAAGAGTACACATTGAAAAGGATATAATCTGGCAATTTTGCTGTTGAAATCACTATTTACAAAACGGGAAAATTTTTTGGACTGCTCGTCAAAATTTCCGAGGTAAAGGTACAAATTACACCGTATAATGCCTAAATATCAATGGGGGATACGGGGAACTAGGAGAGGCTGAGCAATGATGTGGCCGGGAGAGCTCCAGGATATCTGCCACGGAGCAATGTAGATGAAAATGAAATACATCTTGAGGAGCAGGTCGTAGAACTTGCTGAACAGGATCCCGATGATGAGGTAATCGAGGGGCAGCCCCTCGGAGAGGTGGCGGTAGTCAAAGTTGAAGAAGAAGAGGGTGAAGATGAAGACGAGGTACTGCCGGGAGAGTTCAGTGAAGGAACTGCGGAAGAGCTTCATCCCGGCCACAGTCAGGACCAGAGCTGCCCCACTGGGTATCATGAGAGGTGAGGGGAATAATGTATGGAGGGCAATATACTGCATACTGTATGGAGGGGAATTGCTACAGAGAAAACTGTGGTTTCTATGAAAAGCAATTCGTCGGTTCGAGCTGTTTGGACAGTTTTCTCTAAATCCACATTGGTTAACAAAATGCTGAAGTTTTCCCCACAAAACAATCGATAAACTTCTCTAAATCAGTGCTATTAAAGGCCTTATAGTTGCAAAAAGATTGGGAAGAGAGAGAGAGATAGGATAAGGAAGAGGTTTAAGAGAGAGAGAGAGAGACTAACAACTCTCCAAAGCGGGTCTGGTAGTGTAGAGCACTGAGGTTGAGGGCAAAGAGGAAGGACAGGGGATAGAGAATGTTCTTCTCCACATAGAGGCTCAGTTGAAGAAACCTCTCAATCACCGTCACTCTTGGGTGCTCTGGGGTTGGGTTGAGAGGCGGGAGAGAGAGGAGAGAGAGATAAAGAGGCAGGAGAGAGGAGAGAGGTGGGAGGAGGGAGAGAAAGGGAGAAGGAGGAGAGAGGGGAGAGAGAGGAGGGAGAAAAGGGAGAGGAAGAAGGATGTGAGTAAACAATCGAATGATTGCAGTAACGTGGGCACATACCAGGAACTTATAACTCAAAGAGAGGTACGTTGAGGGGAGAGACAAATCTGATCCTGCAGCTATAATAATAATACCTGGAATCCCATTGTCAAATGGAAACTAAAAGGTTTCAAATAGAAATTCAACTAACCAATGAAACCTGTGATTGAACCCATTCTGTACATTGGTTCTTGTCCTAACACTTACTATTTTACCCACACACTCACTATTGGCTCACCCGTTGACCACACCCACCATCAGATAAACCACACCCACCTTGGACTTCGTAGCAGTCCCACTCTGAGGCCTTGACGATGGGTTCTGCACAGCAGAGCCATGGCATCTCCTTCCTCACGTGGGGGATGATGTAATGGTTTACAACTCCCGTCACACAGGTTAGACTGTAGATGATGTAGGCTGGGATCTGGGGAGGAGGGTAGGGGTTAAATAACATTTCAAACACATGGAGGAAGGACGGTAATGGAGAGGTGGGGGGGAGTTAACCTCTGAGCGGCAGAAGACAGACGTAACGTTGAGAGCAGTCACGGCAACAAATGTGAACATTGCCACCAGGAGATCGGTGAGAAGTCTCCTCCACTACAGGGACACAGAGGGTTAACAGATGATGGGAAAGACAGGGTTAAAACACATGGTGGGGTAGACAGGGTTAAACACATGGCGGAAAAAGAGTTAAACAACATGGTGGAAAAGAGTTAAACCACATGTTTGGAGAGGCGGGGTGAAACCATCATGGTGGGAAAAGAGTTAAACGACGCGGTGGGAGAGAGACATGCTATGTATGTACCAGAGTCTGGAAGTAGATTTCTCCGAGAGGATCGCTGACGTTGTCCGGTGAAGACTGTTGTTTCTCTCTCATCTTCTTGTTCAGCAGCCTCGTCAGCATATCCCTACAGAACACACACACACACATACACTGTGTATTTCTCAACGACAATGTTCAGGAGTTACAATTAATGGGTGATGGGGGACACATATAGCCCTGTACATGTATATACCCATTGGTGGGGTTAGCTCCCTTGCCCACGCCTCAGAAAGAATATATAACACCGCAGTTGGTTACGGGACATTTTGAATGGTGGAACAACAAAACAATCCACGAAAGCTTTCTCAACATAAGTTTCCCATCAACTTCTCTTGTATACATTTTCCCGTGCTCTAAACTCGAGTAATAAGGTTGTGAGTGTCCGTACCAGATGTACTCGTGGTTTGAGGTGCTGCGGCTGAGGCAGTAGGAGACGGCGACGAGGGCCCCGCAGAAGAAAGACAGGGCAACGCGGTCTGTGATCTCGCACTGGCCTCGGGGGTCGTTGGGGTCAGTGTCCAGGTCGGCACAGGTGTAGCGGACTGTGTCGCCATTCGAGTTCCGCTGCAGAGGGGTTAAATTAGGACGCCGCTGAGCACAATTTGAGAGTGGTTCGGGGATTAAATAAGAACATTGAGTGTGTGCCCTGATCAATATATCTGATCTTTGAGAGGGTGTCCTGATTGAATCAGGGAAATTTTGAGTGTGACACCATTAATGTTGTGTCTTTGTCAGGCAAAATCCAAAATTTTCAAAAGCTCGCACCGCCAACCAATAATAACTGAATCAGGACACTGTGAGACTCTGTCCTGAACAGTGCGGTGTCCTAAAAAAAGGCCGAGCGGCGAACTCACCTTCTCCCCGAGATTGTAGAATGCCGCAAACCCCAGGCACCAGAGGACAGCGGTTGCTAGGATACTGCGGCCAAGAGCATAGAATGCGCACACGAGCCCTGTGGCAGCTGCATGTACATGGATAGAGAAAATATTTTGGGAGAATGTTAATTAACGAGAAACACACGGTGTCTCTATAGTTGATGCAGGATGATGGCAGTTAATATTCCTAGTAATGAGTAGGGTTAATGTTTCCCCACTGAGTAATGGGGATTAGTAATGGGATTAGTAATGGGATTAGTAAGGTCTGTAGGTCTCATTCCAACACCCACACCAGTGCACACATACATAATATCACTTCCTGTACATTAGTGCTAGCATCCTAACGGAACTACAAATGTCTACTGAGAGCGCAACAGTAGGACTCTTTTGCACAAAACCTAATCCTCTGAATTGACAGACTTAAAACACGGGCCTCCTATCATCATTAAGGAGTAAAAATGTTAAAGTGAGTGCTGTGTGTGTGTGTGACCTGTGCCACCAAAGATGTGCATGTCGATCTGTTCAGCGAGGTAGATGATGAAGGTGTCAGCTTGTGGGAGGAGCCCCCAGGCAAACAGGAGTGGGAAGAACAGGATTAATACTGGGAGAGATAGAGGAGGGAGGGGGAGGGGAGAGAGAAGACATTTCGACACTTCCACCTGTTCTCCAACACACACACACACACACACACACACAACTCACTGAAGAGTCCGTCCCGTACGAAGGAGAAGACGCTGGGGTTGTTGAGGTTGAAGCCGTATGCACAGAGCGGAGGGAAACTGTCAATCTGCTCCAGAGCCACGTTGATGCAGAACCCGACCACTCCCACCAACACAAAGTAGAACGCTCGACTGGCGGCTGTTATCCTGTTCTGGCCCTGAGTATAATGATATACACATACAGTAGAAAGACAGATTAAAACACCTCAACAGTAGCTCCATACATATGTACCACACACTACATCATCGCTTTGTTATAATTTAAAAAAGCCCGGATTACAACGACTAGTTGATTATCCCCGTATTGCTGGTGTGGGGTGTTCAGAAATGAGATTACCGGAATAGGGGAGGCAGGATCTCCGTGAACACTCTGTAGAGAGGGAGGACATGGAATGAAGAGGGTGTGTTTGGGGAATGGAATGTGGACGTCACCTTAACAAGGGAGAAGTGGGCGGTGGCCACCACAAAACAGAACCAGAAGATCCAGAAGTCACGGTAGAATCCTGTTGCCAATAGCAACCCGGCCACGATACACACCAGTACAGCAAGCACCACAGTCACCACCATCTCCAACACTGTCACATTACTAGAAGACCAGGGAAACAAGAAAAAAATAAAAGCAAAATTCTCGCTTCTGAGGCATTAATGTCCCATCGTGCTTTCTCACACACAATTCGGGACATTCTAACAAGAATAGTATTTCTAATTAACCCGTTATTCCCTTATGGTTATATTACTTGATTAATTAACCCTTTTCTCACCGGTCCATGAACTCCTCAAGCTGGCGTCGTCTGAATTTGAGCTCTACAGCCGTTCTCTTGATTCCGGGGATGATGCGGTAGGTGGGGGGCAGATTTTCCTCCGGTTCCCCTCCTCCGGGGGTCCGTGGGGGGCGGGGCGGGGGGTGAGGGGGTGTAGTCGAAGGGTACAGGTTTCCAAGATCTAGTCCGTAGCGACTAAGCATCTCCTGGTGTATTCTGTGATCAGGAGATTGGAACCATGATGGGAGGGAGGGAGGGAGGAAGATCGAAGAAAGGGGGGAAGAGAGAAAGGGAGGAGGAGGAAGGTGGAAAAGAGGGAGAGAAAGACGAAGGGATGGGAGGAGGGAAAACCTGTCCATGAAGAGGTCAGAGTCCACACGGTGAGGAATCTCCGGCTCCTCCTCTTCCTCCTCCTCCTCGTCTGGCTCCTGGTCCGAACGAAACACGTAGAAATTCCATTCTCCACTGACTGCAAGTGAAACAAGATAAGGCACGTACATGGGTGGAGGGACAGTGAAATAGAGGCGAGATGTTGTAGGGACTTGGACGGGAAAAGAAGAGACATAGGGATGTGGGCAGCAAAACAGAGGCGAGATGTAGGGTCAGAGATGATAAATAATGGCGAGATAGAAGTATGAAAGAGGCGAAATATGTACACATACCATCAGTAGAACAACACACCATATCCTCTTCTTACTTAATACATTCTCACCCACACAAACTAAGAACAAAGCGAAGTGTCATGGTTCATATTACATCCTCCGTGAAGAATGCACACATTATCAATACAACAATTATGTCAGCATTACAATTATGGATGACGGGTTGTATGCTAATATTTAACAACTGAGGAAACGGTCATTTTCAGTGAGAGTGTATTGTTATCATCACTCCACGCTACTCACACTCATGCCAAATACAGCTCAAAACTATTTTCAGGAAACTCCATTCTGACACAATAGGCTAGCCGGAGAGGGAAAGTAAACTTATGATATCAGTGTGTCTGTGAATGAAGAGTGCAGCCTATATGGGATTTAGGGGGTTCCAAGGTGTCTTACAATCTTCCCGGGGAGGATGATATCTAGTCCCTTCTATCTATAGTTTGTATTGTTTAACGATGTGATCCAAATCAGAGGGTTACAATTATGACTAAATGCACAAATCGCGACTAAGGTTTTCTGTAAAGAAAGTATAGAATTTTACTGGACACAAAAGTGGTGTATAAAATGAAATTCTGGCAACTCAGCGGCTCAGAAGTACTGAGTATAAATATGTCCTCCTCACCTTCAAACCAGTGTATGGCTCCGCGACTGGAGTCTCCGTCACTGTGTGCCAGGTGTCCCAACTGGAGCTCCGGGACCCTCCCAGTAATGGTCTCCAGACACGAGCGGGACACGTTGTCCGTCACGATCGACTCGTGCAGCGTGGTCGGCATCTTCTCCACCACGTCCAGCAACGAGAGGTGTCCCTGCTCCAGCAACTTGTGCTTCACACTCTCCACAAGAGGATTGGGCTCGTCCTCGTCCTCGGCTCCCTTTGTCTTCTCCTCGTCCCTCTCTTCCTCCTCCTCGTCCAGCGTCACCCGCGTCGTCTCGCTCCCACTCAACATTCCTGCCCGGTGGACCCCTGCAGCTGAAGACACGGCGCCCGCCGACTGATTCCGCGGTCTGAAGTACGGAGACAGATGCGGAACTTCCTGCGAGAACGCTCGGCGAGTACGCAACGCCCCACGTCTGCGATAGGCAAAAGTCGGCGGTTCTAACTCCACCGCGGAGGAACCTGGTTCCTCTCTCATGGGGGAGGAGCGGAGCAAAACGACGGGCTCCCCCTCCATGTTCCCGGCAACTTCGCTGGCCGTCTGGTTCAACACCGGAGGAGTTCTCTCCCGGCTCAGCGGGAGGGAGACGGACCGCTGGAGCCCCGAAGGTCTCACCGTGAGCGTGTTGCTACGACTTCCACCGGCGATGCCCGGGTGCATGGCGCTGAAGTAGCTCTGGACGTTTCTAGAAGACTGGAGCGGGGACGTGCTGCTGTGGTGCATGGGGCTCATGAGGCCGATCGAGCTATTGCTGTGTTGGAGCCACTCTGCAGAGTGAGGCAGACCAGAGAGGACTCCTAGTGTGTGAGAGAGAAAAACAGAGAATGATCTTCATTTTCCCAATGAATTGTAATGTGCATATGGATATCCACCAGTGGTGATTTTAATACCAGGAGCGATGTCGTTTAGTGACTGCTGTTAACTTGAGTAAGCTCACCTGATCTGGGAGGCTGAGAAAGAGATCCCCCCTCAGTTTCCCTGGTGATAGACAATGACATCATCTTTACAGCATCACTCTCCATAGCAACCAACAGAACACTTACGTACATGCACTTCATGCAAAGAGGACGTGGTCACTAAAAATCTGAGTATACTCTACATGAGGTAATGGCTTTTAGAGGTCAACTCTGTGAGAGGTCAGAGGGCCAGACTCTGTGAGAGGCCAGCGGTTTCGCCACCAGCTGTGGCAACAACTGCATAGGCATTGTATATGCAGTTGAAACCACAGCGTTTTGGTAAGTTTAAGCACTCTGTGCTACCTGGACATTGACTGCTGACAACCTCCCACTATGACTCAGCTGTATAATTACTCCACAAGAGACCTCAATGAATCTGGGTAGGCTGAGAGGCTTCAATGAATCTGTTTACACAATAGCACAGTGGAGTGAGTGACACATCCTATTACTGACATTTTTTTCCACCAAGGAACTGATCCAGGACACCGATCTTTCCCACATGAATACACATACACACCTTGTGGAAAATGTGAGCGTAGGGAAAGACTGGTAAACTCACATGTTCTCATCCGTTTTCTCTGCTCCGTCACTGCCCTGTTTCAGTCCAGGTTCGGTACCGGAACTCGTGTCAACACGGATCACCAACGCATCGTCTGACTTTGCAGTCCCCGGTGGGGAATCCCCTCCCTGATTCCCCAGACGAACTTCGACCTCGGCTTCAATCATCCCCAGCAGAGACTCCACTGCCGTCGCTCCTCCCTCTCTCCTCTCCTCTTCCTCCTCATCGGCCCTTGTTCCGGAGGAGACCAGCTGCAGCTCTGCCGTCTCCTGGCTACTTTGGTAGGTGGAGCTCTGCCCAAGAGTGCTCGCAGAGTCTCGGTGGTTATTCAACCTCTCCTCCTCCTCACCCTCCCTCTTCTCCCCCACCTCCACAGCCACCTGTCCCGGAAGAAGTTGCTCCACCAGCTTTCCGTCCAGCCCCAACTCCTTCCTCTCCCCCTCCTCTTCCTCAGACGCGCCCTTCTCCACTTTCTCCTCCTCATTTACACCCTCCCCCTCCTTCTCCTCCTCTTCCCCTCCCGTCTTTTCCCCTCCCTCGTCCTCGTCCTCCTCAGGGTTCATGTCCAGCGCCTTGTGAAGATGAAAGTTGATGATTTTGATCACCAGAAATGTCGCACAGATGACTACTCCATACAGCGTCCATCCCAGCCAGTGATCTACTGCAGCCTGAAAAAAGGACAGAATCCACACTGACAACGACTAAAGTCCAGTCCCTTCGTTGTAATCACTGAATAGTTGCAAACAAGAATTTACCCTTGCAACTATTAATAGTGTTAATCATACTATCAGAGAGAGGCTACTCATACTGTCCGTTGGTTTAGAGCTGGAACAAGGAAATTGACTATACTGAAACCTGAATGTATAGCTCACAATAACAGCATGCTTCACTTCCACTAGCGTTCATGAATGCGTAATGACTGAGTCAGTCCATTTCCACCCCATGATGATGATGACTGGAACTGCCAGTGGAAGTGAGGGCACTATGCAAAGGAAGTCTTGACACAATCAGCCTTATTAGGACAAAGAATGCTCTAATATGGAAGTAGCTAACTAGCCATATTTCTATACCCATATTGAACCATAATGAAGTGTTTGAGCATTAATTGTGTGGGAAGATGATGCAAGCAAGTCAAGAAATGGAAATTCTCCGATTGTCTGAAGCAGATCTTTGGTTAGCCGCCGTGGTAACTCAGTGGGTGCAGAGGGTCGTGCGTTCGAATCCCACACAGGACAGCTCTTTCTTCCTCAGAGAAAAACGAGTTGTCCTGGGTATTGCTTTTGCCGCACGACTTTGTTGTTGGTTAGATGGACAAGGTTGGGTGCTTGTTTTCCCTTATAAACATCTATACACATTCACACTACATGTGCATACGTGTACATACATGCATGCATATGGCATCTCTCGCTAAAGATTAAGAGAAGGAAGAAGGTGAAAACAAGGGGGAGTAAAAGAGGGTGTGTGTAGTCAAAAAAATATTGGCTCTTTCAAATGACAGGGAATATAAACAAATCTTTGAAGTAACGTAGAGAAAGGGAGAGGGAAGGGGGAAGGGGTAGAGATCTCACCAGAGCTACGATCAGAGGGAGAATGATGAAGGAGAGAAAGAGGTACAGGTGGAAAACTACCAGCCACCAGTTTTTCACTCGGTAGGGGACGTAGCCTCCCGTGATGGAGGCGAATATGCCGTAATAGAGGACGGCCGAAAACCCCGTTATGGCCATTTTGTTATCAGTCACAAGATCCAGATAGCACCGTCCGTTTCTACCGCATTACGAGGGCAGCACCGGCTGGATTAGTATGTATTCCTTCTTCTCTCTTTCCTATCTGTCGGAGGGTGGTATTGGTAGAGAAGGAGCGCCTGAACAGCCGTTCTTCAGTTGTGTACCCGTCCTCGGTCCCGTCTCTAACTTCGTCATCCTACGTGTCAAAATTTCTTTTCCGATAATTAGAAGACCACACCCACAATGTATTAGTCTAAAGGGGTGTGGTCTGGGGATTCCCGTTCCAGAACCAGGTCTGGACCGGCTGGAGGTATAAAAGGTGCTCCGGCAACAGCCCACACATCAACAGGGGAAAGCGTGCATGCAGGATCGAGGTAGAGTAGCTAATCGCAGCTTTCAGCGGACACTAGATGCTATTTTGGTGTTGTTTGGAAACTCCGGCGCAGTTCTAGGCGACTAGATAGATAGCTCAGCACTAGTGTTTATTCTGCCTCTACAACAACAAAACAATCCACGGGACTATGACCGACGTGTCGCAGAAGGAGGCTGAGGAGACGAGGCAGGCAGCAACCGACGAGGAAGAGCCGATGGATCCATCCAGAGAGTCCCTTCGCTCCTCGACGCCCGTCATTCTCCCCACCATAATGACCGACTCCCAGCGAAACACTCTCCTCGGGATACCGGTATCGGCAGGCATCGCCCGAGACGCCACAACTCCCGTCGTTCCGGCTCCCTACGGGCCCGAAAAGCTCGTGCCTCGAGCTCCGGACACCCTAGTCGAGACACTGGACGAGACTACCGCACCTAATACCGAAGAAGACGGAGAGACCGGGACTGACGGCGCAGAAAGAGCCAGGCGACCGTTTTGCCGGAGGCAGACCCGCTCAGTGCGGATGGCCCAGAAAGAGTCGCGGCGCTACCGAGAGAGCAAGAAACTGTGGGCCGTTGCAGCTGGAGACTTTCACGGGATCTACGGCGACGAGCTGACGCTCAAAGCCGGCGAGAAAGTGGAGATTGTGTCGAAGGACGTCCGGGTGTCGAGAAACATCGGGTGGTGGACGGGGAGAAACGAGCGGGGACGGTACGGTATCTTTCCGGAAGGCTGCGTCAAGATACTGCCCAAAGACGGAGACGGAGAAGAGGAGGTGAACATCGAGACAGAATATCCGTTCATCATATCGTGCTCCGACATTGATCTGAAAGAGGCGATAGGATTGGGAGGCTTTGGACGGGTTCACAGAGCCATTTACATGAAGCAAGAGGTGGCGGTGAAGGTGGCGAAGAGCACCACGTTCGACCTTGTCAAGGCCGCGCAGGACGTCATAACGGAGGCACAGAAGTTTGCCAACCTTGCTCACGTCAACGTGTGCGCACTCATTGGCGTGGTGCTAGTTCGCGACGTGTGTCTGGTGATGGAGTACGCCCAGGGAGGGGCTTTGTCCGAGGTGTTACACAAGAAGAAGCTGGCGCTGCCCCTGGAGGTGATCCTGGACTGGTCTGGCCAGATTGCCAGTGGAATGAACTACCTCCATACAGAGGTGAAGCCTTCACTCATCCATCGCGACCTCAAATCAGGCAACAGTGAGTCAGACCTGTGTGTGATGGCATGTGTTGACCTTAGTAGATCAACAATACAAGTGGAGACAGTTTGGCAATCATCTGACATGTCTGCTTGTAACTTTCATGTATTGAATCACGTTCCAAATACGCCTGTTCCTGGCTAGTGCCTACGTTATGACGTGGCACAATTACCCTTTCCCCTACTAATGCAGATAGCCACCCTTCAAATTGAGTGTTTTTCAGTGAACTACATGCACATGTAGACACTGGGTTGACTTAGGGTGGGGTGGGTATAATTGGACTTGTTTTGTCGACAACTGATGCTATGTGTGGCGCAGTGTAGTGCAACCCTAGGCAGTAAAGGAATGCGAACTGCTGTGGGTGGAAGAAAGCATGCATACTCTACTACTCCAAGCATGTGTGGTCACCAATTCCCCATGGACTTCATGCACCGCACCTGCTTCCCTCCTTGTCAGTATACCAACAGACACTTCAAACTCTAAATTGGTTCATACATAAACATCTTTATTGCCATGTGCCTTCAATTATCAACGATCTGCACGACTATTGTACCACATCAAAGGAATGAAGTTTGTTTACCCTCTTTTCAGTTCTGCTGGCCAACCAGATCACTCCTAGCTACCTGTACCACAACACCATCAAGATCACTGATTTTGGCCTCGCACGAGAGATTGAGCACACGACGCAGATGACCGGTGCAGGCACCTATCCCTGGATGGCCCCTGAGGTTATCATCTCTAACGACTTCTCCACCAAGTGCGACGTTTGGAGGTCAGTTGCAATACACTGTTTTCTGCTATTTCATGGGGACTGTTGAGTACAGTACACAATGCCTCTTGTCTAAATTTGGGCACACACAACTCCATCGAGCACATCATATGACAAAAGGCACATGAACACATGCATGTGTCAGCGAACTACACAATGCGTAAGTGTTTAATGCGTGATTGTAGCAGTAGAAGTTTCATTTCCTCTGATTAAACTGCCAAATGTGAAGTCTAGCAGCCCTGACTGGCTTTACACTTCCTCTTTCGTCAACTCTTTTTAAGGAAAGGAGTGAAATGTGCACCCCTATGAACGTTACTTGGGGTAATACCCTCTCGTTGTTTATCGGCGATTCCTCGTGTTACATGGATTTGAATCATCAGTCATAATTAGTGTTCCTCTCGCCGTCGTTCCTGCAGTTATGGAGTGGTGCTGTGGGAGCTGCTGACTGGCGAGAAACCGTATGGAAATCTCAATGCCTTTGTTGTTGCCTACGGAGTGGGTCGCGGGACTCTCAGCCTCCCGATCCCCGCAGGCTGCCCCGAGTCTTTCCAGGAACTCATGAGCGGTTAGTCTCTCTCACACACACACACACACCCGCACACGCATGCGCACACACACATACCCTCTCTGTGGTACGGAAGTGGAATGTTACACTCAGCAGTATACCTTTTGTGTGTGTATTATAATCTACACGTGCTAGCATAAGGCATGTGCACATTCCGTGTGTGGGACTGTTCCTTCCAAGTTTGTTCACTGACAGGATGTGCAAGATTTGCAAGGTTTCAATGAGCCTCCTCATGCCAGGCCCTGAGTTTTACTGCCACCTTTTCGGAGAATAATGTGCCGTCTTCAAAAACAAAACAAGCCGATCCTGCGTGCAGCATGAATGTTTGTTTGCTGACAGTCTGTTTGTTGTTTAGTTGGTTTGTGCGTCACCAGTCAAAACTGTGGCAAAGTTTACACAGATTGTAGGGGTTTCCCCCAAGGTTATGTCACGTTGCCCACAACACAGCAATAATCACAGGTTGTGGTCTCATTGGTGACAGCCAGGCTGCCATACACTGTCTCTCTAACAAGATGATATGCACACTGTTTAGGTAGTAGGAACGCCAGTGCCAGAAGTAGAGAGTTATTATTTGATTTGTGCAGAAATTCTGCTGAATCGTGCAGCTTGCTCAGCAGTACTGATAGTTGAACATTGGCTCCCTCTCTCTCCCTTCTTCTCTTGTCCACTTTCTCTCCCCCTCTCTCCTCCCCCTCCCCCTCCCTCCACACACACACAGCCTGCTGGCAAAAGGAGCACACAAAACGGCCACCATTCACCGAGATCCTCGATCGACTGAAGAACATTGAGCTAGAGGAGTTCATGTCTAGCACGAGTTTCGACGATTTCCTTTCCATCCAGAGCACGTGGAAGACGGAGATACAGGAGCAGTTCCTAAAGTTCAAGAGAGAGGAGAGTGTGAGTTATTTAGCCACGATTTAATCGTACAGATTATAAAACTTGATCGACCTTGGAAATGAACCTGAAGTTTAAGCGAGTGGGCTGTGCAACGTAAATTATTCTGAATGGTCTGTTGATCACAGAACAGTCATGCACTGAAATAAATTTCCTAATATCATATCAAGGTTACTAAGTGCCCCATTCCTCATGCAACCTTGTGCAAGCATAAAAAGGTACATATGTCATAATTACCCACTGTTGGGAAAATATTGCTTGTGTGTGTGTGTCATTAGGGCATCTCATTCATCCTGCCTGTGAGTGTAGCTGTGCCATTGGGAAATGGCAGTGCTTCCCTGTGCCTCGTAATCATAGGAGACCTTTCAATCATTGAGGTGCACAACAACGGTGGTTTGTACAGGAAACCATGCGAAGTGATAGATAGATCTTTGTACATAATTATACCAAGCTGTGCCAGTAGCAAGCATAGGTCGTCTTCCTGAGTGGAGGACTTTTCATGCAGTCCATGGCCTAATAACATTCATAGCTCTGTGTGCAATAGGTGGTATGCATTCTTTTTCCATGAGCTCATCCGTTGGGAAGTGAATCTAGTACAGGGTCCCAATAGTGTTTACATAGCTGCCTTTAGTTTACTGTACTTAGTGCACACTGAACTGACTAGCTAATGTATCCTCCGATGCATGGTATATACTTCCAATCATAGTACACAATAAGGTTTTGGACAAATGACTTGGCTGTTCTTGATAGAGGCACTAGGTAGCTGTAGATGGCGCCGCGGGGACAACATATTGACCAAGTCTGATTGTTATGGGGATGGTGTATTGTGATGGGGACTACTAGCTGTATTGGCTGGAAACGTACCAGGTATAATGATGACGTATTTGTGTGCAGGCGTTCAAGGAGCAGGAGCTGCCGGGAGACCTAGCCAAGAGGATCAAGCAGCAGGAGGAGAAGATTCAGCAGCAGCAGCACGAGCTGGAGAAGCTGCGGACGGACACGAAGCAGGCGCAGGAGGAGTGGCAGCGGCGACGAGAGCTGGAGCAGAACGAGGCGTTCCAGCGACAGAGAGAGGAGCTGGAGAGACTCAAGGAGAAGTTGAGGGAGATGGAGAGGAGGAGAGAGAACAACCCTGCATCTCCAGCACAGCAGCAGCAGGTACATATCTATCTGAAACGGAAGCACATGCACATCATTGAGTACTTGACGTTGGTGTCCAATGTCTCTGCCAAACATTGTACAGCGCTTCAAGGTTTGCTCGCACTCTCTCACCACAACCCTGTTGAATGTTCAGTCTTGTATACCTAAGTATTTAGGGGTTTTCCAGCTACCTGGTCCAATGTTTATCTGCTGGTCGATGTGTATGAATAGTGTGAGTGTGGGTGTGACGGTTTTTCTGCACAGTGTGCATGACTGTGAATACTCTCCTCGATTAGACTGTTTTTCAGTGACATCATGTCTAATGATGTGTGCATGCCAGTTTCCTTGTTAGAATAATTGGGAATTTATTGCAACATTGATAACCCAATCTATGTCATATTGGGTATCTGCTTACCAAGTATAGTTTTACCTGCACTTGATGCCTTCCCTTTCACCATTCCGTTTCTCCTTCCCTATCTCTTTACCTTTCTTCCTCTATCACTCCTTCTCCTCTCCTCGTGCCCCAGAGCCGACCTCCTCGGGTGAAGCGATTCTCTGCACGTCGCCTCCTAAAGTGGCTCTCCGGTACAGACAGCCAGAAGACCAGCTCGAAACTCCAGCAGCAAAAGTCCACCTCGTCCTCCAGCGCTGCAACCACTGCTCACCCCTCTGTACAATACTCTACTGCCAGCGACAGACGAGCTTCACTCCAGCCTCCACGCAGGGCCACAAGTAACCCGTCAACTTCGCCCCCCGAGTCCCGCCGACCGTCTTCGTTAATTGATGATGTCACCACGACGTCGTCCATTCCTGGGATGCTAGTTGTGAACAAACGTACCTCCCTACCACACAAGTTCAGGGAGAGAGACGCGGCGCCTGGGGCAGGTGTGGGGGAGGGGGGTCGGAGGGGGCCACAAGAGGCGGTACTCTGGCGGGAACATTCCCATGTCGCAGATCGAGGGGTTTGGGCAGCCGACAAGCCCCACCCCCATCCCCTTGTTCACTGCCGGAGGGTTGGGGTCCCACATTCGGCCGTTCACGGAGGGGATGCAGAAGATGATAGATCGCGACGTGTCGCCGGGCGTTCGCATCCGTTCTCTCTCACACCCTCGCTCCCCCTCTCCCAATCCCCTGCCTCTTGGTGGTAAGTCCTTCTATCTCTCTGCTGCTTGACCTTTAGCTGTTGTATCATGCTGCCTTTTTGTGTGTGTGTCTGTCTGCAATATGCAACTATGGTCCCCGGTGTTCTTTACAAACAGAGGTGCCTGGTACACATTAGATGTTGTGGGTTTCTTCACACGCTTGCTTCGACAGGAAGAACACACAGACCTTTGTGTGGCTTATGATTGCCCTGTGTTGTGCATTCTCTGTACACGCACACAAACACCAGACTGCGTATGATAGTGTGTATGAACATAGTACACCACTATGGCTACCGGCTCAAATGTACTCCGTGGTTCCAAGAACAGACACACGATACTATTGTCAGCTGGCTCTGTTTCTATTTTCGGCCCTGCCACCTTCCATATTAGGAATCTGTAGTCGCTTCTATTTTGAGACGGGCCATTCCTTTTTACACATATAGCCTGATGGTATGTGTAATTGTATTTACTGCACGGTTTTTCCCTCACTCCGCAGTTTCATCACCAAATTCTCCCAAGTCTCCACAGTCAACAAGCACTGCAAGTACTGCCCACAGCCAATCGGCCTCAGTAGCCAGCGAATTCGGCTCAATTAAGAAACCATCCAATCTCACTCTGCAAAACAGGCACATTGTGTCCTCCGACGACAGCGACCAGAACTCCCCCATGAGCTACCCCTATGTCTACGACTCGGGCAAAGAGAGCACGACGGGATCATTTCTGTCGAACCAGTCAGCAGCGAGTCACCTCATATCGTTCGACTCGCCCGGACACTCCAAGACTGAGCTGCCGATGGCGATGTTTGACCCACTCTATCAGTCCTTGGCAGACGAGGCCCTCAAACAGCTGAAACAGACCACGTCCTACGACTCGCTACTCCAGGACCCCAACGGAGGAACCACTTCGGGAAACGTGAGCCCGTGCATCTTCTCCACCTCACCCAATCTCAAACGACACTCCTCACCGCGAGGCAAACACACCTCTCCTCGTTCCTCCCTCGTCGCACAAGACCCGCTGACGGCCGCAGCCTCAGCTGCTTCAGCAGTCGCCGCCGAAATAAAAAACAGCCCCATTGCCCGCCCACGCCCTCGTCCGGGGCAACTCAACTCTTACACCAGTGACACGGGCCCTCTTTGCCCCTTCTCTCCGGCAAACTACACGCGACCCCACCGTCACAGTGACGTGTCACCCTCGGGATCAGTCCAGAGTCTCTATGCAGCCATGACGGACTTTGACTACGGAGTGGGAGGAGGGTTTCAGTCGGACACCTCGACCCACAGCAGTCTTCTGGACCTGCCTCACGGAGATGACATCACCGATCCCCCACTGGTGCCTACTCCTGCCGAACTCGGACTCTATTTCGAATTCGACCCTTCGAAATTCTAACCACCTTGTGATTCTCATTACCTCTTCTTACCAAATCAAGTGTGTGTTTGTGTGTGTGTGTGCTTATGTCTCAGTGTAATGTTTTCGTGTGATAACATCTGTGCACGTAATCCTTTTTCTAGCATATTATTTTTACCACACTCGTGTGTACATTCATTCATTATACTTTTTAAAAAAGATTTCTCCCACCCTCCACCTGGTTACAGGTGGTTTAATGTGGCTGGCTGTCATAATTATTATTTCCCTGTTGGCCTGAATCAGGTATAAATTTCATTATGTTTGATCAATCAATGTCCATTTGATGAGAGAATCACAAAGTGAAACGGGAAATACATTGCGTGAATGATCGAGGAAAGTTTGGTCATGTCGTGGAAGAGAGGGGAGGAGGAATGGCAGAATGGCTGTCATCACGAATCACTTTTTTTGTCTGCAGAAGGAGACGAGAGCTAGTGTTTTGAAAGTGCACAATAAATTGATAAACACATCCTGGATCAAATTCCCTACTGAGTTCGCATTCCATTGTCAATGTTTTGGTTAATGAGGTAATCACATAAACGATTGTCTCCCGGCCTTCCACTCAATAGAACTTCAAATTTGGCAAACAATAGATACCAATAGAGCTGCAGACGTACTAACACACACACACACACGCACCAGGGACGTCAGTGGGTGAGAGGTGAGAGTGAGAGGGGGAGGAGAGGAGCTGTGGAGGGAGACAGTTGAGGACAAACGGCATCCACGAGGCAATCTGCGCCAGCCGGTTGATCCAACGAGGGGGTGTGGCTCCACACAGCCGCTGGCAGAAATCGGAAGAGAAGTGGTTGCAGTTCCTACACACAGAGAGAGATATTCCACATCAGAACCAGGGATGGACAAGTTCACATTTCATGCTAATATATACATGTCCACATGTAATATATACCCAATATTGAGTCCACAACATGTGCATGTTTTACAGTTCCGCTCTGCAGGCAAAACTCATAGTAAAACTCCCCATACTCTGCAGTTTGTATTGTAAGACTGTCACACAACATAATGTGTAGTTTTGATTGAGGCGTGAGAAAGTGTTTGGGCTAATATGGCATTCTTAATGCCCAGAAAGAAAGAAGTCTTGCAGCCACAGATGATGATTTCGTCGTTATGCTGTGTGAAACTGCACTCTCAAAATAATATTGTTAAACTTCCTTGTACCAGTTGGTAAATCCTATACAGTTTCTACCCGCTGATGCTGTGGAGATGTACAAGGCCCGTGCAGTCAAGTTAGGAAATTGTTAGGAGACTGAAGCGTCATGAGCTACAGACACACACGCCCTTACTGGGACCTTGTAAACATTTACTACTACGTATGTACTTTCTTTTTAAACAGCACTGCAGTTTCAACACACACACACCTCAATAAGCTTCCATGGTATTCAGTTGACAAATATGAAAAGGAAAGGACTTCGACATAGTATTTGATTACACTAATTTACTATGCAGTTTCTTTGTATATACTGCGAGCAAATGCACTACATTATAGCAGAACTTCTACAAATCGAAATGGTAACTAGAGTCATGACTTTATCAATTGCAGGACAAAACAAAGTGCCACGTGTTGAAAATATTACACACAGACCACGTTAATTGACACCGGCCGTGGAATGCTTCAATTACACAACTAGTCGTCGCGTAAGTAACATGATGTATTTGTTACATCATTGAAAAATAGGCTCTAACCTGTGGAGAATAGTGTAATCACAGCCATTGTAGTCCCTGCCTAGCAACACGACAAGCCCCTTCACCTCCTCGGAGGAAAAGTGGGTGTGGCCAATTAGTATTGCTTCCCTGAAGCGGACCTGCTGTCCAGTAATCTCGTCGGCCTGTCTTGGTTCCATGTCATAGATTCCGGAATACGAGTATGGGTGACAGCCATACGCGTACTCTAGTTTTCCGTGGAGATTAACACTAAGCATACAAGAGACCCAAACCTTACCTCTACCATAAACCTCTACTCCAGTGTGATACGCTCCCAGCCCAACCGGATACACATAAGTATTCACGGCCAACTGAGAAAAATTACTTTCATGAAAACTATATACACAGTACAAATATCTAATGTGTAAAAAGGAGGAGCAAGGAGGAGTTTGATCACGAAGGTAAAATGTTTGAAAGTGGAAAAGGACTCCCCGGCCGGGAATCGAACCCGGGTCTTCCGCGTGACAGGCGGAGATACTTACCACTATACTACCGAGGATGTCACGCTTCACAATATCACAATAAAACCTACCATATCGTAAACGTTTAAGTACACATCCGGGCATTGGCTCATCCGCTGTTCCCTAGCTTCAAATTCGTCAGCCACCGTTCTCATAAAATCCTCCAGATTCTCTCCGTTCCCTTTCTTCAGGGGTATCGCGGTTGGTTTGGCGGACATGCTCCCACGACGCACGCACGACGCGTCAATAATCACCGAATATTCAGTGCCTGGAGGGTTAAAAATCAGTTTTTGACCTTTCTGACCTCGAACCAATGGAAGAGGAAGAGTTAGAGAAACGAAAGGTAAGCACTTGAAATAGTCCTCAGACTTGCTTACATTAGTATGAAAATCGCAGAAGAAGTGGTATCTGGACGTGGAGAACACTCCATGTGCCCGCGATGCCCTAGTCCACGGCATAGCTGGCAGTCTAGTGATAGGGGCTCTCTATTTCATGAAGTCAAGTAAGCCTCCACTGAATGGTGACTATCTCAAAAATACTCTGTTCTTATCCAACCGTGCTGAGTTAGTTTTTCACACTCCGATGCCTCAGATGTTGTCCGTAGGTCATGTGACTTCGCAGTGGGTGGATTTGCTCTAACGTCCCTCATCAGTTGGTAAGGAACTTATGTAGCTATCCTTGCTACCTACATTGTTCTGTTTATTTTGGAGATGCAAAAATTTTTGCAGATAAAGATGTTTGCTGGAACAATTTTCTGCATATTTGCCATGTTTCTGCAATGTTTGTGCATTGAAATTAGGTGCTACCAGTTTGCTGTTATTCTCGCCTTAGACTAGGATCCTGGCCTGACCCATTTAGGTGTGAGACTACTATATATGGCACACTTCTCTTGTCCCTCGCCCTCCTCCCCTCCAGGGAGCTGTGCAGGGTGAATCGGGCGAAGGAGAGAGCAGAGATCAAGAGCACGGTGACCATCCTGAACAAGGTCACAGAGATGAGGAGAAAGGAGCTGGAGGAGAAGAAGCGGACATCAGATGCTCCTTCAAACTCCTAATACCTTCCAGAGTCTCATTATACAGTGTGCATTGTTTGTATCAAGAGCTGTTCTATTATAACTGCAGTATGTGATAGTGTGCATAGGGTTCATTGTGAGTGGTGACAGAGTCCTCTTAGAATGCAATAATATATGGCTAATGAAGGGGGCTCCCTCTTCTAGTCTTCGTCTGATTCCTCAGGTTCCTCCCTCTCCCTCCATTGCCTCCTGAGCCTCCTCCTGGGCCTTGCGGAGTGCTTCTTCCTGCTCCACCATTGGGTCTGTAGTCTCTGTGATGTCAGGTCCTGTGGGGTTGAATCAGTCAGTGAAAAAACGAGTATATAGGGTGTAGTGTAGGTTGGTGGTGAGCTAGTTGGGGGCAGACCTGCTGGGAACTCTTCTTGCACCGGTGGAGGCAACTCGGGGTTAAACGGCACCGCACTGTACTTCAACCCCCACCCAATATACACATTGTCAAACGTTCTGCAACAGATTTTGACAAGAAGGAAAGTATTATATGAAAAGTGATTATGCTACAGACTGACTTCTTGTATGCGACGGCATGGGCTCCAGGCCAGAGGTTTGAGGAGGCAAGAGCCGCGGCATACTGAGGCACCAGATTGGAGGTGAGACGAAGACTCCACGCCGGGAACCCGTTCACTTCTGCAACACAAGACGGAGGGAGGGTGAGAACAGGGAAACACAGGAGAGGGTAAAAAGGGAAGGTTACTTTCGTCGGCAGAGATGGCAGAGAGAAGAGAGGGTCCTGTCTCTGGCTCTGGTTCCTCTGGCTGCTCCTTCTCCTCGTCCTCCTCCTCCTCGTCCTCCACCAGTTCATCGTCGGCTTTCTGGGACGGATTCCACCACACTGTCCGCCCCTGCGTTGTGTGTCGACGGCAGAGAGAGGAGGAGATTATAATGTGTCAGATGCAGACATTGTAAGCTGACCTGGGGAAGTATGTATGGAATATGATGGACCCAATTCTCTGGGTCTGTGTATTCGGATATCTTCTGCATTTCAAACTCTTCGTTGAGTTGAGCTTCTGCTGCAACTGCAGGGAAATACATGACAGTGACAATACATATGTAACATACTTTTCCCATAATGATTCCTGTATCTGCCATAATGCCCTATGTGACTCTACACAAATGCAGCTATGTGCACCTAAAATGCATTGTATTGTCTGAATGTTGTTAAAAAAGAGGTGTCCTACATTCAGGGGGTCCTTTATCAGAGGTTTCACTGTCCTGAAAACTCCACCCACCTCCCTCTTCAGGCTCCTCCTCCTCC